CATCTTTAGGCTTTCGATGATGCCATTGCCGATATTGAATAAATCTAAGAAGACCAATACAAGGATGCCACAACCATTATGTAACTCATCAGAGATAACTTGACATTATGGACCTCAGAACTTGAAGATGAAGGTGGTAACGTTGAAAACCTCTGAGTAGGATATCAGTTATGATATATTATATATATATATATAATTATATGTAAGAAGAGACAGCCCATCTTATCTATTTTTTTATTGAAATATTAAAATATAATTACATATATTTTAGTTATATTTGATTACATAATAATAATATAGACTATAGACAAATTTTAGGTATTTATAACAAAAAAAGTTGTCAGCAATTACATTACTATGTAATTTATGTTTAATCACTCTTTTTAGAGGTTAAAAATTTAGGTTTTATAATATTACCATCAATTGTTCCTTCTTAAAGTAAATTCAGAATTCTAGTTGTAATTTATATAAAAGCATCATTAACCTAATACCCAGTAGCTGCACTAGTCTCAATGTATTATACATCATTTTCTTAACAAAATAATTTTGCAGTTTACTCTGATATTGTTCTTAATTTAAAATTACAATTACCTCTCCTTATCTAAATCTGCTTTATTTCCAATAACAATAATCTGAATGGAAGGTTTTGAGAAGTCTCTTGCATGCTTTATCCATTCTTACAAAGCTTCAAAAGATTCTGAGCTAAATTACTGTGAATATATACTTAGTAATGTCAAAAACTATTAAGGCTCCTAATGCTCCTCTATAATAACCTTTAGTTAAAGCTCTATATCTCTCTTAACCTGCTGTATCCCATAATTACATCTTTATTTTTTTTTTATTCACTTAAACTATTTTAGCTGAAAACTCAACACCCAGTGTCTATTTTATATTACAAATTTCTTATTTGATCTCATAAATTACATGCTCCATGAATATAGTGATATAGAAGGCTTGATTTCCCACAATTCCCATTGCCAATGATAATAAACTTGAATACATAATCACATTGTTCCTCTGTCATATTATAATGAAGAATAATATTAATTTATTTTATAAAACAATTAATAAATTCAGAATAATCGATAAGCCTTGTCATTATTTTATATTTCATATTTTTTAAAGTATACTTTGCTTCTTTAGGTTGTAGTACACCAGATACTTTTTAAAATTTTTTCTTAGAATTAGCATTCAAAAGGAAAACTTCCAATTTATTTGAGGAGTATACATATGTGGATTTTATAAGTAGAGAAACTTATATATATATATAAAAAAAAGAACAAATCTCAATAATATTATCTATTATATATTTCCTTTTAACTCTTTTCAAATGAACATTTGTAAGAAAGGATTTCTTTTGAATTTATATTTCTTAATTAATTATATATGAAAAATATTATTTATCACAAAACATACTTTATTACTTCTATGAATTTTAAGACTTAATTAAAATAGTCATAAAATAATTTAGTTTTTCAGAGTATAATTTTAAAAAGTCTCCACATCCATGTTTGAAAATGAAGATGATATTTTGTTTTAAGAGATTTTAAGGTGCTAAACCAATGAAGATATTTAGCATCTTGTTTATTCTCAATGTTTAGACATAATTGGAAATTCGGTGTAGGATCAACTATCCTTATCACATAAATAATTGTTTAGAGTGATTCGACTATTTAAAGAATACATAAATTAAAAACCGACATAATTGTAAGATTAAAGAAAAAGTAGACAATAAGCACTTATATAGCATTAATAAAATTGTATACTATTGCAATATCAATTATAATTGGAATAAAATAAAGTAAGTTAGTTGCATTTGGATAATGAAATGATGAAGTTGCAATTAAAAATATATTAAGGAGATTTAGAAACTCTTAAACAGTAAAACTTTGAGGATATCAAAAAGATAGAAAATCAACTATTTAATACACTTAAATAAATTTCTTTATACAAAGACACTCTAATTCAAAAAATTTGTGTGATTTGTATGCAAAAAGAATATAATATGATTATGAAACCTTGTGGACATATTTGTGTTTGTGAATATTGTTCAAAGTATATAGATCAGTGTCCAATTGATAAAGAAAAGATTACTAAAATAAAGAAAGTTTACTTATCATGATAAATAAATAATCTAATCACATTATATATATATATTAAATTATCAATTTATATTTTCCATGGGAAATTAATGCGCTTCTTAGTGTTAATGCCAATAATAATTAAAGGAATAAGTAGCAACTGAAATTATAGTATGACTCCTTTTAATTTTAGATTGCAAAATCCGATCCAAACAGTTTGAAAAGTAAAAAGTCAAGTTCTAAATAAAGTATTAAATAAACTTATGCTAAAACTTAATAAAAAGAAGCTAAAAAGGAGACTGAAACAGAAGAACTCTAAAATAAAGTATAAAAACAAAATAAGGCAGCAATCAAGATTCAAAAAAATTGGAGAGGTTATTTAGTTAGAAAGAAGAAAACATTAAAAAATTCTGTAAAAAGAGATACTAAGAAAAATTATTTAGGAGAATAACTTGAACCAATTACACTCCCAAAAAATTCTTCAACTGTTGAATTGGAATCGCGTCCTGCTTACAAATTTAAAAGTGGAGCAGTATATGAAGGTTAATGGAGAGGTACATAGAGAGAAGGTATAGGAACATAAACTTGGGCTGATGGTGCAAAATATGTTGGAGAATGGAAGTTAAGCCATGCAAATGGTAAAGGAAAGTTTTATCATATTGATGGAGACACTTTTGATGGTTATTGGGAAAATGATAAGGCTAATGGATATGGTGTTTATACACATGCAAATGGGTCTAAGTATGAAGGAGAATGGAAAAATGATTTATAACATGGTCATGGCGTAGAAACTTGGTTTGATGGTTCATAGTATACTGGAGTGTATTTTGAAGGTAAGAAGTAAGGAAAAGGAAAATATGAATGGCCAGATGGATCATTTTATGAAGGGGATTGGCATGATAATAAAATTACAGGATTCGGTACTTATTTTTGGGCTGATGGAAGGGGATATACTGGTTAATGGTTGAATAATTGTATGCATGGGAAAGGAATCTATACTTGGAAGGATGGTAGAAAATATGAAGGGGAATATAAATAAGATCGTAAGGAGGGTTATGGTACATATACATGGGCAGATGGAAAGAAATATGAAGGATAATGGCAAGATGGAAAATAACATGGCAAGGGTAAATACATATTCCCTGATGGAATAATAAAGGAAGGAATTTGGAAGGATGGAAAAAAGGTCAAAGCTTTAGATAATACTAGTGCTCTATGATTAAAGCCTTGATAATTAGATTGTATTACTATTTATATTATGTTTGATTGTCTACAAAATATATATAATATTTAAATAGAATAAATTTATACTTTATACTTTCACAAATACATTAATCCTTGAATTTTCAATTAATTTTTTAAGAAACTATTGATATGTTTATTCTCTGATCTTAATTAAGAAGGAATCAATAATATAAATCCATTAACCCATCTTGAGTTTCTTTTTAAATTAGAATACTCACTTCCCCAAATAACGAATAAGAATAATACAATCAAAATGTTGATTACAATAACAAAATAAGAGTTGAATATTACTTCCTAATATAATATTAATTGAATTTTTACATTATCAATTCCAGTATATAGTGCACTTCTTGCTAAATTAGACATAAATTGATTAGCCCATTTAGCATACAATAATCCTAATTAAAAATCTTAAAACATTTATTAAGATATATAACTATTTAGTTCAGTGTAATTTTTATTTTAGGTTAGTAATTAATTCAATCCATTTTACATTTCCAATTATAATTTTTAATAGAAATTCAATAAACCTTCAGTTAATATACCATCTAGAATAGATTCACATAATGCTTGACTTGCATTAGTAAATCCATTTATTAAGGGAGTAATAGATTCACAAGTATTATTTGTACTATAAAAATCAACTAGATCAGCAAATTCAGTAGAATATTCTTCTAATTAATGATACATAGTTTAGAATATGCCATATATATTTTCATTATCTATTTCTGTTAAGACTTCATTTAATTATGTTGTATTTAATTAAGAAATATATTATTAGTAATAGAGATTCTTAAAATAAACAAAGTCTCTTTCAGAATTATATTTTAATCTATGTTATTATTCTTAAGAAGAGAATAATTCTTCTAATTCACTACTAAATAAAATAATAAAATAATCTTTAACAAAAATTAAACCTGAAAAGATTATTAACCAAAATGTCATTACTGCAAAAAATACTATTTTATTTATTTAAATTCCTTTATGACTTCTTGATCTTGCTAAATTTTTAGCATTATTTTCTTTATCTTTTTTCTTTTTTTCTTCTGTTCCTTTTGTTACTTCCTCTTCTATTTTCTTTAAAACTTAAGGTGTATCTGTAATTTATCTCATATTATAAAAGATCATTTTATAATGATTAGAATAATATTCAACATCTGCTAAAGATATTTTAGTGAAAATTCTCAAAGTTTCTTAGATCTTTAATTTAGTTTTGAGAATAATTGGATAAATAAGAATATATAATAATAGCAATATACCAAAGCAACTAAACCAAAAATAATAAAATCTTTCTATCAACATATCCTTACTTCTTATCAACATTTTAGTGATTAAATTATAATTATAATCTGTGATATTATCAAATTCATTTAAATTATTATAAATAAAATAGAAATAATCTTATCTGCTATTTAAAGTAAAAGATGATAAATTTAAATCTTTAGTAGCATTAGCAGCATTCAAAATTAATCTAACATAATTTTCATAATTAAATAAGAATTCTGTTGGTTAATTGTTTACAAGCATATTAGCATTCATTTAAATAAAAAGATACTATCTTAAATCATTACCACTTTTAGATTAAGTACCAGCATTACTATAATCTTCTAAAAAGAATTAGACAGTGTCAATTTAATTTTATAATATCATTTTTCTAAATTATCCAACCCATTCAGGTCCATAAACAGATGTATTTTTTAAAGGTCCTTCATTTATCATTTAAAGTGTAAAATAACCATCCAAAATTTCAATTAAATTATCAGAATAATTACTCATTCTTTCAAACATATACAATTCATCTTTAATACCATTAAAATCATTATTTGCTAATATATATTATGAAATTATTAAAGAAAATAATAACAAACTTAATACTACCATAGTATAATGAGCAACTATTAAAATTGTAGGTGCTTACATATTCTTTAACTATTCTCTCAACATTCTTTATGCATTATGAGCTTATAATGATTAGGCTAATATATAAATAATAATTACTTGAACTACTAACAGATTGCATAGCTGCTTTCTCTTCTTCATTAGCTCCTTGATTATTTAGTATATTCTATAATAATCCTCTTTCTTCTTATTAATCTTCATCAAATGATTATGATCTATCTTCTTAATCATATTAATCAGTATTAGTGGAATGAGTATCGTTACTCATTTCAGCTCTTTTCTTTTCTTCTTATACAAATGTCTTAAATTTTTCAGTAGCTACAAATTCTCTTATTCTTCTAAATTTAATAGCTAAAGGATCAACTGGTTATAATTTTTTTTTCTTTTCCAAAAATGCACTCATATCTGTTTAACCTAAGATATTAGCTTTGATAAGAGCAATTTAAAGTAAATTTACAGCTGGACAAGCTCTCATAGCTTCTAATTATTCTGGGGTTGCTTCTATTTTCTTTTTTTCATTCTCTTCATCATCTTCATCTTTAAATTATTTTGATTCATATTAAACTTATGCCATACTACCTTATTATTTTGATACTCTCTTAAACTTATTTTTCTTTGAAACTGGTTTGAAGAGAGTCATTAATATACCTTATTTCAATTATTCTTAATCTTCTACTTATTTTCCTTTACCACCTAATCTTTTAACATTTAATTATAATAAAGAAGATCTATTATTTTTATTAGCTTTTTTAAACATATTTAAAAACCCTTTTGCTTATTGACCTTCTTAATTGTCTTCTCCTCCATCAGCTCTTCCTGCTTCAATTTCTTCAGCATTATCCTATTCCTCTTACATTTTTTATTTCATTTTCTTTTATTTGAAAGTATTATATGCATCTTGAAAATTCTTATAAACTTAAGATACTTTTTCTCCTTATTCTTTAATTTTCTTTCTATTAACTTTAATATATTCAGTAGTTTTAAATTCATATGTATTAACTTTGATAATTTTTAATCTTTATAATTTACTACCATTCCAATATGTAAAATTTTTAATTTAAACTTTAATTTTAATCATTTTAATTAAAGAATCAATAAGTATTTTCTTATTCTATTTATAAAATAATGCAGCATATTCCTTTTTGAATTCAGCACATTATTTAATAAGTTTAATATTCTTCTAATCATTTCCTGATTATCCAAATTCTTATGATAATTATTCCTTAGTTAAAAGATCTATATTAAACTTTTTAAATAGTCTAGTTCTATATTCAACAAAACTTTATATTCTTTTTTCAAATTCTTTTTGAATAAATATAACTTATTTCATATCCTTAGTTTCTAATTATTTATTAGCTGAATTATATTCATCATATGATAATTTACCTTTGCCATCATTTTATTTGTTTGCTGTAATATCAAAATCTAAAAAGTAATCAGAAAATACTGAGTAAAATCCAGGAGCAATCAATTAAATATTAACCTTAGTTTCTAAAATCTTTTCAGGTGGTAATCCTAAAGCTTAACATACTTTTCTTCCAGCTCCATAAATCATTCCATCTACATCTGCAATAATGTAATCATCTTAATTGAGTTTATGTATAAACCCTACTATATCATATGATTATAAAGATGGTAAAATCTTAATAAAAATATTGGCTGAAAATAAAATCTTAGCTCTATCAATAGCCCATATATGAGTCATCTTAGTAGTCAATAATTCTCTTGCATTTTCATAATAATTTTTAAGAATTTTACTATGACAATTACCTAATGGTTCAGGCATCATCTAATTAATATTCATAGATTTAAGATCAGTTTCATCATAACCAAATACATTAAATACATTTCTACTACACCAAGTAATTTATCCTAATGATTCTAATTAAGAAGATATTGATAACACACAACTTTACTTATCAAATATCTAATATTTTTTTATCAAAATATTAAAATCTTATTAAAATGAATTATCATTTTCCATATCTTTAGCTTAATCAATATCTTTTTCAATCTTCTTAGCTAATAAATCATCATATGCTAAATAATTAGAATAAATAGTCATTAAATTCTTTAGATCTTAAGATTAATTATTAAGTTGTAGTAAAAATTCATACTAATCATTTGTTAATTACATAGTTCTAATAGCATTATTACCAATATCTAATAATTTACTCAAATCTGGTTTTTCTTCACATAATGATTCCCAAAGATCATTTAAATGTTTATTTGCTTCCATAATAGTTTCCTTTTATCTTATAATACCTTCATCAAAAGCTTTTACATTTTCTAATTATAATCTACGTGATATTTCACTTTTTTAATTTCTATTCATTAAATGCTTCTTCATTCTTGCTCTTAATCTATATAAACAAAATTCAATTGATAAACTCATATCATTATGATATTTAGATTCAAATTTACCAATTTCAAAATATATTGAAGAATACATTCTAAGTGCTTCAAATCTATAATACATATAATCAAGATATAATAATTTTGAATCCTTAAATTTATTTAATCCATCTTTAGCCATTCTAGCTATAAAATGTTTGACAAATACTAAATCTTTATGTAATTAAGTATTTTAATCATTCTTTTACTATTTTAACATTTTTGTATCTGTTATTGAAGCAGCTTTCATTTCACTTTAAATTATTTTCTTTTTAGGATCAATAAGTGTGCTTCTTTTTTTACATGGACAAGTACTATTTTTACATTTATCAGAATGTATTTTTAATAAAGATGCTAAAAGTAATTCATTTTTCTTTTCTTCATTGTCAGATTTAGATAATATATTATAATTTCTAATTTTTAGATCTAATAACACAGCACTCTAAATTTCATCTAATTCACTATTCATTAACACTTTTACAAAATAATTTCTAATATTAAGAAATAATTTTAAAAAAAAGGCCATTCCTAAACCAACTATTACTAATACATTTTCATGAAGCATTTCAATTGAAGTAAGTTGTAAAACTATAAAAGTAGCATTGATCCACAAATATGCAGAAGCAAAGATACCTTATGTTTTAGATACATTTTTATTATGATATGGAAAATTATTTAATGAATCATAAAGTAAAATTAGTCCAAATATCAAATGTAATAATACTAATATTGTATATGTTTATTAAACTTCTAAATCGAATAATGATTAAAATATAGTGATTCCAAGTCTATAAATAAAAAAAAAGATTGGCATCCCAGCTATTATTATGAATATTTAATATACATGGATTTCTAGATACAGAATCCTTAATTTTGAAAGTAAAATTAAAGAATAAATATGAATACAATATTTCTAATAAAAGCAACATTAAAGAACATAAAATAGACATAATTATTAATCCTATATGTACACCACTATAACATTCTGTTTAATTATTTTCAAAATTACAAGCTATATTACCAACTGTCAAACCAAATACTGGAACAACTAAAATTTTATCAGTCAATTCTGAAATAAATCCCCAAGTTGATCTTAATTATTTTACCAATGGATTATCATAATTACTTGTAGATGCAAAATAAAGAATTGATGTTATTAAAAATATTAAAACTAAAAGAGCAATTACCAAAAATAGCATATTAAATAAAATTGAATCTGATGATAATAATACAGGATAAAGTAAAAAATAATTACTGATTGGTAAAAAACCTAATTAATTAAATTAAAATACTTGAAATAAATCCACTTTATAAATCAGTATTCTTATCATTAGCAGTCATGAATATTAATTGTAAATTCAAAATCAATATCATTAGTATACCCTTACTTTATGATAATGTTTTTGATTCTAATAAGGCAAAATAAGTTTTAAAGATAGTGTATTTAACTTCATCAAAAGTTTTGGTTTCTTCTTATTTAAACTCTGAATCGGATTGTAATCTAATATAATTTTTCCTCATTATTTTTTAATAATAATTTAAATAATAATTAACATATTAATAAAAAAATTAAATTTATTCATTTGAATATTTTATTACTTTAATTGAATCTACATCCTTATAATCCATAATTTAGATATGAAAATAAATATTATTAATTTATTCTCTTATCAATTATGTATAAATATATTGTAATTATAAAATTATAATTTATATATATATATATATATGATATATAATTTTGATTTACTTGAGATATGTAAATTCAAAAATATATTGCTTTGTAATTATTCGAGTTTAACTGAGGATATTTAACATCATCCAAAGATTTTCGAGCAATAACTCTTTTTTAATTCAATGAATCTAATAAGTCTTATCTTTATTTTAATAATTTTTATTTTTAATCCACTAAAAAGTTCAATTTATATATTTTCTCACTAAAATGATTCTAATTCAATAATTCCTTTTAATGCATTAAAGTTTAAGAATTAGATCTCACTGCTTAACGATACTCATCTTTTTATTATTCAATATTTAATCTATTTAGTTTATTACGCTATTATTATTTTTCTATCATTTATATCTTCTATTCTATTTAATTTATTTTATCTATATAATAAGATTGTTTCTCTTAATTTAAGATATTACTTTTTTCTTATACATCAATAATATGCATATCATGTATTCTAATTTTATCAATAGATCTATCAAGTGATTCACTTCTTACTTATTTTGCATATTCTATTTTATGATCTATTTAATCTAATTTCTTTTTTGATATCTATTCAAAATTATGACATGAATGATACTTCTGAATCTCTAAATTTATTGATCTTCTTTTTTATAAGTGCTTTTTCAACATTATCATTAGTTGTTTAAAGTTATTTGTATAAAAATCGAAGAACCTTCTCTCTTTCAGCATCTACTTTTAATGGTTTCATATCTTTAGATGGAGAATAATCTTAATAAAAGCACCAACTTGCATCTAAAGCATTGATATATTCATTTTCTTTTTATTTATATAAATATTAATGATCTTTATTAACTTTTTGCTCTTTTAACTAAATTAAGATGATAATATTACAAAATCTTCTTTTTATTTTTTTTAATGATCAATCAATTTCTCTTTGTAAAACATTTAGTGCAATTTATTTTCATTCTTTAATTTCTCATCTTAAAGTATTTATTGGTAAGCTAACAAATTATTGAGTTCTTTCTCCTAATCTATAAAATCAAATTATTACATGTTTTTTTTAGAACTTTATTGATTTACCTAATTCTTTATTAAGAAATTTAGATAAATTTTCATCAGCATCATACCTTTATGATTATTATAATGCCATTTAATATTATGTAAATTTACAAAAATATAAATACTTAAAAATATATAATGATTAGGAAAAATTAATAATTATATGGTCACATTCCTTCTGAGCGATTCCATTTAACTTCATCCTCATATTATAATTAAGGTTATTTTTAAGTTAATGGTGTAAATTATTAAAATTTTTCAGAAAGTCTTTGTTTAAAAGTCATCGATTCTATTAAAAAGGCTTCAAACTTCTTGATCTCAGGAGATGATAGCAACTATTCAATATCAGATGATAATCTCTTATAATCTTATTTACTACTATCATTATTAAGATTAGAAGTTATTTATTTTAGTTGAAGATGCTTCTTGTTCATCTAATTTTTTCAAATAAAATTAATCAAACAATATTATACTGAAAGCAATCGAACTTTAATATTTAATCAATTAATTTATTTTCTTAATCATTATTAAATTAATTTTCAATCGCAAAATAACTTTAGAAAACTACGTCAATACCCTAAGCTCTAATTAAAATTTTGATTTTCTAATAAAAAATAGTCTGTAGAATGTAGAATATCATTATATAATTTAATAAATGAATAAATCAACAATATGATTATATGAAATTATTTCATAATCTTTATTATGGAGAATATTTATAAATTTTCTTGAAAAAAAATATATTATATAGTAAGTTTATTAATAATATGAAATAAATTTCAACAATTTTATTGGTACTGGATTATTAAATTTAATAAATTCATAGTGATATGTTTAGAGTCTTCCGAAATATTATTCATTATAATATACAAAGTAAATTAAAAACAACTGACTTTAAAAAATATTAGGATATGTTTTAAACACTTCAAAATTATGGAATAATACTATAATAATTAAAAAGAATAATAAAACTAACAATAAAATACTCTAAAAGATATCATAATTAATTTATGCTCATAAGATGAGTAATTGAAATAAAAGCGACAAAATCAATTAATTAAGAATTTTTATAATAAAAAATTTATTATTCTTATTATTTATTAAGCCTCAATATTAATAATTAATCTAATATTAATAAAATTAACAATATATAATCTAAAGGTCTAAGCAAAACTAAAACATAATATTATTTATCTTTATTTTATAATCTAAATTTAATATATAATTTCTAAAAATCATATATAAATCAAACCTAAATAATTATAATTATTAAGAATTTTATTATTATTATTATGTTATTTGTTTAAGCTATGTAAAATGCTTTATCATCTCCAAAACAATAATAATAACAAGAAAAATTAGATAAAAAGAATAAAGTTTAAAAGGAATAAATAGATGGATCATAATTGGCTCTACTTTTATAATTAGAAGCTATTTTTCATGAAAGAACTTATTGTCTTGAACATGTTACAAAGACTTTAGAAATCTATTGTTATCTTGTTGAGTAATTTGACTCGAATTAATAAAGTTTAAAAGATTATTTCTTAGAAAAAATTCAATTTCTCTTAAGCAGACCAGAAACAATCAAATTAATGATGGAAGATAATGAAGGATCAAATGCTATTTAAAATAGATTTACTTCAATGGCTGTTGGATAAAATTTGGATCAGTTAAAGTTGGAAGAAGAAACAAGATTTAATCGACCTTTTCTTTAGTAAAATTTAGATTCAAATAATAATATGAGATTTAGTGTTTTTAAAAAACATTAAGCAAAAGAAAGAGAAATATGTATGGAGGTTTAAGAGAGATAACAAGATTAGAAGGTTGATGTTAATACTCTTTTGTAATAGTATGATCAAATTTCAAAGGAATATGATGAAGCAATTAAGAAATAATTAAATGATTAAAATATTGCCATAAATCTAAGAATGGCTAATAGGAAAAATAATAAGGTGAAAAAGAGAAAGTCTAATTCTTAAGAAAATTAGAGACAAACAATAGTGAATCCTTTAAGAACTACTTTAACTAAATGGAAATTGATATCAGAAATTTAAGAAAGTGCTAATTTTTGGAGGTAATCCATAAATAAATTGAAGAAATGATTTTATATTATTTTTTTAATGAAAGGTTTGAATGAATGGTCTAAATATATAGTATATTCAGCTAGTTAATTTTATCTGAGATTCTATTTAAATTTGTTTAGTTCCTATATTTGCTCTTCTAGAACTCTTACTTCTACTTTAATCACATGTTTCTATATTTATTAAATATATTATACCTTTATATTTTTAGATTTAACTATTATTTTAAGAGCTATTTTTTGAAACTGGTTAGCTAATAATTCCTTTTTTTCTATCTTGTACTGAAACACTTTGGATTAGATCTTGAATAGTAGAGAGTGAATTATTTTTGCTTTTTAATTTTTAACCATAAATTTTATTTAAATCTTTTTGTTAAATAACTTTTAAAACATCTACTTTATTAGCTTAATGTCCATAATTAATAATATTGTAATAATTTTATTTTAATGATTATTATGATTTGATTGGTATTTCAGTGGTTTCAATAGTATTAGAAGTATGATTAATTTAAGAATTTAATTTATGTTCAGAATAAGATTTTTAATTTCTTTGATCTTAATAATATTAAAAATAATCTACTTTACAATTATAATTATTGTATAATTGGTTATTGATTTTTCTTAGATTATGTTTTTAAATAATCTCTTTAACTCAAGTCTAAAGATTTTCTCCTATTTTCTTTTTCTAAATTATTAATTATTTATTTTAAGCTAGCAATCTCTATATTTAATTTTTACTAATTTTCATGATATGTTTAATTTTCTCTTTTTAAATTCTATAATTTATAATGATTAAATACACTAATTAACTTTTTAGTGGTTTCTAGAAGTTCAGCTCTACTTGATTCACTTTCATCTAATTTATTTTAAATAGATTCAGCATATAATTTAAGCTATTATTCAATCTAAAATATAATTAATAAAATACTCTAATATGATTTCTAATTTCACTTTCATATTTGATTAAAGTTTATTCTAATTTTTCATATTCTTCATCAGATCTTAAACTTTTAGTCATAGAATGGTTTGGATCAATTTATTTTTCTAATTTGCTTTGTTAATATTTTAATTAACTACTTACGATATTTTCTTTTCTACTTTCATCATTAGATTTGTAAATACTGCCTTAATAATACCAATCAAATGAGACAAACTTTCATAGTCTTTTAATTCAGCTTCAACTTAATTCAATTCCTCTTTAGTTTCAATAAATTTCTCTATATTTAGTAAAACTCTTTCCAATAAGTCTTTCAAATTATTTTCTATTTCTTTCTCATTAATGCTCCCCATACTAAAATTATCAATCTAATCCATTAACAGTTAATTTAATAAATATATATATAAATATATACATTTATAAATAAAAATTTCTAATATTTTCTAAAATAAAATAAGAATTGAAAGATACTTAATTATCATATTTATGAAATGATTTAATTATAAATATCATTATATATTATTATATTTATAAATACAAGAAGAATTTTTAATCGAAATTTGAGACAGTCAACAAATTTTAATAATCAATTAATTTAATAAAAACAAAAGAGTGCAATTAATAATATCAATAAAAGTTTGAATGATGAAATAAATAACTTTATTTCATTGTTAGGAAGATTTTCTTTTTGATTATAGTTGATTAATGGAAAGCGAATGTTAAGAACTTCCTTTTCTCATTGCAATTATTTAAATATTTTTGATTTTCTCCACAATTGAAATAATTTTTTAAGCTTCTTCTTCAAAAGACACTGCTAAAATTGGGAAAGCTGACTGAAAATCTTCATCTGGCTTAAGATCGGTTATAATGATATTGGATAGTTTTTACATCATTTAGTTGAAAGCACTTGCAAATTTACGATCATTATATATAAGATAATAATCTGATTCATCTATTCGTTTTATGATTTATTATTCTCTCATAACTCTTTTGATATTGTTTTGGATGATAATAGAAATATTTTATTTAACTATGATGCAATTATTTATTTTTTCTCTAGTATGTTGTGGAAGTTGATCTAAATTACCCACTAGATCAAGAAACATACAGAACCTTTTAAATAGCTATAATAAATCTTAGACATATTAATCAAGAGCAGCATCTTATTTATTTTCCATAGGCAATGATTAACCTACAAGGGAGGAAGCTTCTAAATATGGTTAATTGTTGATTTTTAATTCTTCATTTTAAGAGCGCTATTTTGATTGATTCTTTTATGCAGAGCAGACTGAACCCATTTATAAATATATCCTTAAATTATTAAAACAATATCAGAAATAATTTTGAAACATAGAGTTTTCTTCTCTTTTAAATATATTAATTTATTATTAATTATAATAAAGGATGTCCATCGTAACAAGATTTGCTTCATATTTCATTAAGAGTAGAGTCATCAATTACTCATGTAAATCAATTCTCTATTGATTTTTAGTATAAGTGGATAGAATAATGACTGAAATGTGTAAGGCAGGGTTCTAAGACCCTGAAGAAGGATTCTTAGAAAGAGATCCAATGAGTTATTATGAATGCAGATTCTATTCTCACATTGCTAGAAATTGGACACCAAGACTTGAATCATTGTAATTATTTATTTATTCAATATAAATAAAGTGAGAAAGAATAATATGAATTAGCAAGACAAAAGTTTGTTCAATTTGAAAACTTATACTCTTTTATTTTGGATTTACATAGAGCAACTTGGGAATATAGATCACTCTATTTAGAATTAACCAAAGAAATAGCAACTCATAATACTTGGTTCAGAAGTGAACATACAAATTTAACTTATGAACATCATTTAGAGGAAGCCATTAATAAATATATTAATCTTTTGGATCAATTAAAAGAGTATCCATTATGGCAAGAGAGAGTCAAAGAAGAAATTGGATATTATTTGCATCTTATCTACAATTCTACTACTCATTCAAGTTAGAGTAAAGAATTGTTTGCTAAATTTGTATTATAAATCATTTATTTTAGGATAAATTATATTTCTTCAAATGATTGCAATCATATGAATATGTTAGTATTTGCATAAATATATAAATATTTCATTATTTTTTCTTATGATATCTTCTTACTCTTAGCTAATTCATAATCAATCAATCAAATCAATTATTCATAATCATTCCTGAAATCATTTGTTATAATAATATGCATTATTTTCTTTAATTCCTATATCATATAGACTTAAATACCTATAGATATACTTAGAGATATTAATCATTAAAATAATAAATGATTGAAGACAATGAATCTGAGTGCTTCTTTTAACTGAAACCATCTAAAAAGATCAAAAAGACCAGAGGCAACACTCTTAGAATTTAAAAGCATTATGATACTTTGAATCAGATGTAGATAGCTGCTGCAGATTAAGAATAAATTATACTAAGTTTAATTAACAAGCGACCTTCATGTATGCTTTTAGAAATATTATAATAGTCTATTAAAAGAATAAATTCATTCTATAATGGAAAGATAACATATTTTTATAAGAGTCTTTAAATTATGTTAATTTGATTAAAAGTGAATCAGATACTTTTGAAGATAGTGAAAGTTTTTTAAAATAGAATCTAAATGAATCTTTCATAGAAAACTATCTATGCTGATTGATACTCGTTCACCTTAATTGCAAAATATGAATTTTATTTAATATTTTTCCAAGTATTATATCATACTGCTTTAATATTTTGCAGCTCTTAAAACAGATTATCCTCAAAGAATTATATGAAAATAGATGTCTCATTACTTATTCTTTTTGAAGATTTATATAGATTTAGTTAATATATTAAAATAATCTAAAATTACATTTAATTATTATGATAATTATTAATTAAATTACCTTAATTTATAATATAATAATCTAATCTTTATTTATCAAATTTGATCAAAAGATCTTTCCATAAAATCATGTTTGATATCCCTAATTGATCTACGACTATGAATTTATTTTTTGTTATATAGTTTTACACTATTTTTTTATTTTAATTATTTCTAAATCAATATATCATAATTTTATAAATCTATTATTATTTTATCTAATTTCCATTTTTTTAAACTAACTTTTATTGATATTATCTCTTTTACTAAATTTCTAACAATTACAGAACTGTTAAATTTTAGATTTATTTATATTATTCAATATAATTAAATTAAGACTATGATTTCTATTCTTTTTTTTACTTTTCTATTTATTATTATTAAATTAATCTAATTTACTTTATTTTAAGAATTATATAGAATGATTTCTCTAAATAAATAGAAAGTATATGATATATAGTTTAAAATTAAAGAATTTTACATAAATTTAATTGAAGATCTTAATGTTAATAATATTAAGTCTAGAAAATGGGATAGTTTTTATTTATAAATCTATAAAATTAAATATTTATTCTAGAATTTAATGATATAAATCAAAATCATTTGATATTGAATTATAAGATATTAGTATCTCTTAAAATAAATTTAATTATTAATATGATTCCTCAAATTTTAAGTATTTGTAATATATAGTGTTGAAAGATTCTACATATTGGTTGATGTACTTAAATTAAGTTCTATGTTAATCATTGATTGTGTAATTCTATTGAATTGATTATTGCTTAACTAAAATTACTTAAAAGTACTTAATCTAGTCATCTTTAGTGGATGTATGGATAAGTATTTTATTCATAAATTAAATAACATGGCAGATTTTAATCCATAAGAGAGAGTAAAGAAGATGGTCAATGCCATAAAAGCTGAGGTAATATTGATGAAAACTTAATTAATTAGGCTAATGAGAAGGCTGAATAAATCAAGGACATGGCTGCTTAATAGTTTAGAATTGAAAAGAACAAACTACTCAATTAATAGAAAGAGAGGATTATTGAAGAATACAAAAAGAAGATTGAGTCATACACAATTGAAAAGAGAATGTAAATATATTTAATAGATTTAGTCAACGATCATCTAAAATCAATCAATCAAGATTGTCCAAAATGCAAGCACGTTTTGAGTTAATCCAAAGACTTAAAGAGGAAGTTCGTTAGAAGATGACAAAATTGATTTAAGATTAGAGTGTCTATAAAGAATTACTAAAGAACTTGATAATATAAGGAATGATTAAGTTACTTGAACCTAGAATTGAATTAACATGTTTAGAGTAGGATGTGCAACTCATTAGGACAATTTTGTAAGAATGTTAAGAAGAATTCTCTATAATTATTAAGAGAGAAACAACTAAAGACTTTAAGACGACATTAAGCATTAATTAGAGTCAGTATCTAACAGAGAAATAGGGTAAACCAATGTAAAAATTAAGATATAAATATATTTTAGTTTGGGAGGAGTTGTTTTGAGTTGTGCTAATAACAGAATTGTTTGTTCTAATACTTTAGATGATAGATTAGAACTTTCATTACAAGAATTCTTACCAGATATTAGAAATGGATTGTTTAAGAAATGAAAGAATGAGTATTTACAATATATAAAAAGCATATATAAATCAATAAGCTAAGTAGTATGTTGTATCAACAAACATTTCACAATAATTATATCTAATTATTTATTGAGAAAGGTCTTATTATAATTTATGCAATTTGTTTACGTTTTCTTATTTGTAATTTCTCATTTTCTTAAAAATATCTTTATTTCTGAACATCAAATCATTTGTATATTATTCAACTTATTTTGAATGATCAAATTTTTAGATAATTCTTTATATCATTTCTTTCTTTTTCATTTTAAACTCATCTTATTTTTATTCTTGAATCTTTAAATTATCTATGAAAACTAACTGTTATAATATTTTTTATTTTTATTATCTAAAATATTTTGTTTAATCAATTATTTTTATTCTATTCTAGCTTTTATTAAGAAACTTTTGAAAGTAACTTTCACTTTACAAAGCCAACGTAAATTGTTCTATAAAATAACAAATTTAGACAAATCCTTTGCTTTATTCATCTTATTTTAATAAAGATTCCATAGATAATAGAGGTAATGCTAATAGTCTGCAATTATTAGGATGAAGTTCTTCACAAAATGGTAGAAAAAACCTTTAACAATGGTATTCATAAAAAGGAATTTTGGAACTACTAACAATTTAGGATTCTTATTAGTTTAATATTTAAAAGGGTTAGATTATTATTAATAATTCTGGTGTTACTATCTAAAGATCAGTAAAAACCTAACTAATATCAACTACAAATGTATCAATTTTATAATTCAAAATTTAAAATCCACAATTAACTCTTAATTTTCTTTCTTATAGAAATTCTTTAAGTAATTATGGATATTGAATTGTGAATAAACACACTTAATAAACACGAGAAATAGAATTAAATAATTCTTTGAAATTCTTAAGTATATAAAATGATTAAGTTTATGAAACCTTTTAAAAATAATGATCTCTTAAAACTACATATTCATCATATTGCTTACTAGTAATAAAATCATGTTATAAACCAAAATAACTTGATTCATCAAATCCCAAAACATTTTCAAATTATATCATAACTAAGTGATTAATATTATTAAGACTTATTTTAGTGTAAAAACAATCAATCTTCATTGCTTGAATTGTTTAATCTACTAAATTAGAAGTTGTTTGCTTAGGAGAATTACTAGAAATTTCATTATTTAAGATAGATTTTCTAATTGTAAGTTATTGTTATTATTCTTTAAATTGATTAGTCATATTAATAGTATTCGATATTTACGAATTTTTTTGTCTAATTTATTCTTGATGATAATCCATTACTCTAGGTTTTGGACTCATTGACAAAGTTCCTAACTCTTATTTAGAGTCTAAAATATAGGATTTATCAATTTAATTTATTGAATTATCAAAATTTCTTAGCAAAGCCCCTTTATGAAGTCTACCTGGAATTCTATGTATTTCATGATTATGAGGTTTTGGAGGAGTTGGAGATGGAGTAGTTATTTTAGGCTTTAATTTTTAAACAAACTTATCAGTTTTTGTGGATGTATTTGGAATGTTATCTAAACAATTACTGACATTAAGAATAGATTCTGCCAATTTAGTGAAAGATTGTTTAATACATTTATGTCTAACAATGTGAGGATGAATTTCTTTTGACTCTAAGTTAAGGGTTTTTTGTTTAATAAATGGCTTGCAATCTTTTCTGCATATACTCATCATTAGCTTTTTAGGAGAGTAGGAAGTATTGACTCGATTAAAGTTACTATTTGTGATTTATGACAAGTAGTAATCGTTGGAATAATAATACTCTACAGGATTATACATATAATATTTTTTATTAATTCACAACAACAAATTTATTTGGTCTTCTCTTTCAAAGATTCAAATATTAGCCAATAGATATCCTATATTATTTATAACTCTCAATATAATATACTTTCATATGTTTTTTAAATGCATACGATTAATCCCAATTAAACCACTATTTTATATAAACCATTAATATTCAATATTTATTCTTAATTTTACATAACATAGCAAAGATTTTGATCATAGTATTTATATTATAATTAATATTTTTCCAATTTAATGAGATGACATCTCCTTTATCAAAGTTATTTTAGTCTTTATTATTTATATTTTGTATTTAGCCATTCTTTCTTAATTCTCATATACTTTTATAATTGTTTAGCCTAATCGAAAATAATGAATTATTCAAGTATTTTTGAATTTTAATTCATTTATAAAGTATCTATCAAATTACTTAAAAATTCTGAGTAAAGCTAATGGTTCTTGATTCTTAAGAAACTTTTAGAATTGGAATAAATAAAATCTAAAACATCAGCTTTTAATTCTAGATAATATACTAAATTTTTGATGTTATATTATTAAATATTCAAAGTATTAATATTTCTAAAGACTATTAAAACTTTTAAAAGCAGTTTCTTATCATTTTGAATAGTATCTAAATGTTAAAGCTATAAAATTTACCTTTACTGTTTATTTTCTCATCTAAGAATTTTATTGGTCTAAAATTTATTTTTTTTTCAAACTATTTGCATTTCTTTTAGCTTTTATTTTAGGATTTGTATAAATAGTTAATTAGATATAATTTGAGTATGAAACTATGTTTAAATCAAATATATATATACATTTTAATAGCAGATTATTTTTATTTCTTAACTAAATGAAGTTTTCACAAGTTCCTTCGCTTTAGAAATTGAGAATATTTCTTAAAATATATTGATAGTGAAGTATTTAAACTATTATATAATAAGATTCGATCCACTTATTTTAGATTAATTTTTCCTTAAACTTTTTTTATCTTAATTATATTCACTTTAAATACTATTAATAAAATGTTAATAAATATATTTCAGTTGACAACTCATTATTATGTTTACAAGAAAATTCCCAATATTTTAAATTTATGTTTTGGTATAAAGATTTAAATTTTAAAATCCTTTAATGATAAAGCAAAGGATTCTGTTTCTGTTAAACTTGAATTAAAATTATTCATTTATAATACCTTAGGAATACAAACAAGATGATGATATGTTAAGAAAATTTGAAAGTAGAATAAATTTAATAACTTTATATTGATTTTATTTACTAATTTAAAAATATTATGAATAATAATAATCTATATATATAAAGTCAATTTTATTTAAATTTAGTGTCTTTGAAATAGTCTGTTCTAACTAATTTAATTAATTTCTAAATAATATAAATTAATAAAAATACTTCTCTTAATTCTTATTCTGTAATATCATTTCTTTCATATTAATCAAAATAAGATGTTAAAAAATCATCTTATGCAATAATAAATTCTTTTAATTGAATTTTTTCTTTTTCTGTTATAAATTTATTTTTAAACAATTCAGTTGTAAAATAAAGTTATTTAGCTGGTTATCTTTATAATTATTCCATTTTTTATTTTTTATATTTTATATTTTATATAATCATTTAATTTTATTTATTAACAAATAATTCAAATAATCAATTAAATATAATATTTATTCAATATTCAAATATCTTCTAATAAAATTTCTAAAACTTTTATAATAACTAATTCATCAGCAATTTGAATTATTTAATATATTAAACAATATGTATCAGATGTATTAATTATTAATTATTATTCTGATATTATTCTTAATTGATATTTAACATTATAAATAATAGAATTAAAATTACCTTAACAATTTTATTAAAATTAATATTAATACAAATCTTAAAGTTTATTACTTAAAAATTAACTTTTGATTATTTTATTTTAAAAACATTTAGCATAAACTTGAATAGTCAAAATTTATTAATTATTATTAACTAAAAGTGTTATGTTACCTTAACTAATTATTTTTTAATCAACTTCTAATAGATTAATCTCCATAGAAATCCTTTCATCTGATTTTAGATCTTTAATTTAAGTAATTTAGATTTATGAAAAAAGAATAGGAAGAGCTTTTATTAAGATTAATGAATACGATGAGTGCATATATTCTTGTAAAAGACCCATCCACTTGAACAAACAGTACATTCAGTTTTTAAAGGTCCTAGACATAGATCACAACCAGTAATGCATTTTGCAAGATATATATTAAAAGCTCTTATTCCCAAATATGCATTAGTAGTTATAGAATTATGATTAGTTCTCATAGTTATTTTACATTTAGATAATGAATGAGGTAAAGTAATTGCAATATTAATAATCTTTTCTAATCCATTAGATCCACAAATATTATAGATACCTGTAGATTCTAAAATTGTTTAATTATAAATTTAATCATCTATTTCTAAAATAAACATTTCATTATTCCATGAATCAATTTTCCAAATTTATAATTATACTTACATTTTATAATGACCATTCAAATTTTCTATTATTTTTTCTAATTTATCATTTGGTGCTAATTTTATTATATCAAAACTGACACATTTATCAATTGTAGGTTACATATTATTATTATTCTTAATCCATCCATCAACTTCTATTGATTCATGCCATAATGATAAAAAACCAATCCAATAATAACAATTATTATAATCATTATCTTAACAGTATAAACAACCTTAAGGACATCTTAAAATTTAAATTGAAAAATCTCTAATTCCCCAACTTTCCTTTTATATTAATTTAATATTACATCACCTGGTGATGAATCCAGACTTGTAGTCATAATAAAAATTAATGATTCTGAGTTATGATTAATAACAAATTTAATTGACTGACCCATCTCATTCCAGTCACTGTAATAAGCTCCACATTATTGTGTCCCTTGATAATATATATAACCTTATGACCATTTATAATCTTCAGCTATTAAATAGACAAATTCATTATCCCAGCTATCAATTCTATTTTTTATCTAAGAAATACTTCCAAAATTAAAAAGTAATTTTAAGTTGATAATGAGGAGGCAGTTTAAATAACTTAGATACTATTGCTTTATTTCCAAATGCATTATATCCTCCAAACAATGTAACACCATTACATTTAGTGAATAAATTACCCTAATAATTATTGCTTACTATCCAACCTAAATCATTAAAGATGAAAATAACCTTCAGCATCATTAGGGTCATTACCTTTAAAGCTAGTGTAAATAGTTTCCCATTATTCTTATGCCATAGCAATATATATTAAGACTAAAATAAATAAATATAGTTTCATTATTATTAATTTAATTATTACTTTCTATTACCTTTAGTTGAATAATTTAGTAATTAATTTAAAGATTTTAAATAATTTATATCATTTAGATCCAATTATTTATGCAATTTTTTATAAATATTATTATTATTAATAAAATTATTAAAATTTGATTATTATCATTTTCCTTGTAGGCAATAGGTTGATATATAATTATTCATGCTCACTTAATATTTATGATTAACTCCTCATATTATTAACCAAGATTTTATAATAGTTAAAATAACGATTATATTTAAAAGATGTATTATTATTTAAAAAAAAGATTATAAAAATTAAAAGATATGATAACATCTTAAAAAATAAAGCATTATAATTTACAATTCTCTTGTTCCATTTATTCAAGGTTTTTAAAGGCTTTTTAGGCCAGGTGCTTTACCAACTAAACATAATCCACACACTAGACATAGTTATGAATAATCATTTTCATATGTACTCCCATCATAAGGACATGTTTTATAAATTGATAGATATTTAAGTGTATTTACAGAGTAGATAGGCTATTCATTAAGCCAATTTTCTTTAAAATCAATTTAAACAGCATTTGTATTTTATTATTATGATGCTTTTTCATACTAATTTTATACATTAATTATTACCTTTTATGCATTTTATAAAACTTCAGGTTTTTATGTTGTATCATTTTTTAACAATTCAATTAACTTTTTAGCTATCTATTAACATGTGATAAAGTTTTTCTGTTTGTAACTTATACTAAGAGCCTACCTTAGTGTTAATATTCTATGGGAAGGTTACAATTCTATAGTTGCCATCTTACAGACCATTTCCAAAGAATTGCTATCTTTTTTTAGAGCATCACATCTCATTGCCATCATATAATTTTTGCTTATGTTAATGTACTTTTATATTTCTTCTATTTGATTGGCTTCAAAATCAGTTAATAATAATTTCTATAAAACCTATTAGAAACAATTACTGACTTCACTAAATTTAGCATCAGTTGTATATTTATATCCTATAATAAAATATGTAATATACCCTATTTGATTAGACTTTTAACTTCATTCAATCTATTTAATTTAACTGGTAAAGTTGTATTATTTAAAAAAGGTATTGAGGTCAAAACTTAAAAAGGAGTAATATCTGTTAATAATTTCAATAATTATTAATGATTATTCAAATTGATTTACTGTTTTAATAGTTTTATACCTACTTCGTAATCTCCTGCAGCAAAATATTTCACAGCCACTTCTCCTTTTTATTCTAAAAATACTCCCCTTAATGCTGATTCATCTAAACTCTTATCCATTTCCTGTATTACTTTAGGTTCAAAGAACTCTTCTTCTGGTTCATCTTCTAATCCCCACTAAACATCATTATTAATTTATTCTTCTATTTGTTTTTCTTCTATTACTTATTTTTATATGGTAAATATATCCTAAGGTACAACTGATTCTTCAGTTACTTCAAGATTGATTATATCTTACTCATTCATTTATAATAGAGGCCATGGATCATTTTTATACTTCATTATTGGAATTGGTGGTATTAATGCTTGACTTCCACCAAGTGATTTTATCCACTCAATTGTATCTTATTGATTCTTATCCAATTTTTATATATTTCCATTGAGATGTTCTATAATTTAAGCAAGTTTTGGTAGATTCTATTTAATAGATTTTTATTTCTGAATTTAGGATTAATAAATGTAATTTGGTTATATGTTTTATAATTTCTCTTATTTTTCATTATTACCTGTACATAAATATAAAAAGGCCAATCTGTCAAATTAGTTGAGTTATTAGTCACATACATCAACCAATAAATTATTACCTTATCTAAGAGCTTCTGACCTTAATTATTCAAATAAACTAGTATCCTTGATTTCAATTGCAGCTTTGTATGCTTATTCTAAATTACCAGAATCCAAAGATAATGAGAATTTAGCTATTATATTAAAATTTTGATTACCTTATTTATCTTTGACTAATTTTAAAGCAACAGATGCTAATCTTTTTTAATATAAGTATGAGAGAACAGCCTCATTTTAATTATTTTCAACAAATTTATGTATTGCATTTAGATCCTTATTTAGAATGGCAATTTTGAATAATGGTTCCTGAATATCCAATATTTATGTGATATATTGTGCAGCATTGTCAACTGCTATTAATTTTAATGTATTTTACTATTATTATTCTCCTTTCACTAGATAGAGAATGTTCTCAGTAGATTTTAATACTCCTGTATCACCATTCAATAATAAATATTTAATTTAACTTTTTGTTGTGTAAATAATAAAATTATTAACCCAAATAAAAGACTTAATATTAATATATTCTTAGATTTCAATTAATTTTTAAAGTTATTTTGTTAGAATAGTTAATTATAATTTCCCTTATACTATTAAATAGGAATCATGATATTGAACATACTTAACATTTGAATATTCAATTTAATTTAACCCTTATTTTGCAAGTGGATCAAATAATTCCAAATGACTATTGTTACCATCTCTATAAATTAATAATTTGCCTCCAGGTGCAGGGAATAGTTTAGAAGCTTCCTTATCATCAATTAAAGAGACTGCTTCTGTTTCATAATTATATAACTCAATTTATGATTCTTAATTAATACGAGCTATTTTATTCTTTCCAATAAAACAAGCTGACTTTGAATTGAATTATTTAATTCCTGAATCACCTTTCTATTGTTAAAATACAATTAATAAATGTCTCTTTAATTTATTTGTATCTTTTTTTAAAGATCGAATACATCTAATCATTAATTATGTTTTTTAAGTATCATATGTATTGTATTCAATAGATTCAATATTATCCTCAAGAATAGTTGGAGTTGGAGTAATGACAGTAGAAATATCTCTAATAATTTATTATTGCCCAGAATTTAATTCAATAACTTTAAGTATTTTTTATTCAGCCATACATAAATATCTTTCATTAACAAGTAGAACAGGTACTCGATCTTTATGTAATGTAAATACTTGAAGCATAGTATCAGAACCACAAGCAAAATAATAATTATTAGGATGACAAGCTACTATCCAATATCTATCATAATGTTAATTTTCATAAAGTGTAATTTATTTTCTAGTTGCAGAATCCCAAATTCTTATAGTATGATCTTCAGAATCTGAGATTATAACATCTCCTTTTGAATGAAATTCAGCACAACAAACATTATTAGTGTGTCCTGTAAGAGAATCAAATTCCCATACTTTATTTTCATTGTATTTCCATAATTTAATATTTTTATCATCACCACTTGTTATAATTAATGGTTCAGATTTATGAAAAGCACACCAATTTAATTAATCTTTATGTCCATCCATAATTGCTATTACTTATACTTCAGCACCAGAGAGTACATACTCTTGATTCTTCTTTTATGCATATCTTTATTTAAGTACTCCATAATTCCATAATCTTGCTGTTTAATCTAATGAACAAGTCACTATGAAGTCTTATGTTGGATGGAAATGACATGACATTATATAATGTGTATGTCCTGTTAGTATAGCAATAGTTTATCTGCTTTAATAGTTCCATACTCTAGCTGTTTGATCATCAGATCCAGATAATACCCAAGGATTAATTGGATGAAATGTAACACATCTTACATAATCTAAATGTCCCTTCAATACAAATTGACATTATTTAAAATTCCACACTCTTACTGTATAATCATCTCCTCCAGAACAGAACAAATTCAATTATGGATGGAATTAAACTGATCGAACAGCACCTTAGTGATCCTCATATGTTGCTATGCGTTTTTTAATACGATAATCAATTAGTTCTATTACACCAGAATGAAGTGCACTCAATACCCAAGGACGATGAGGGTGGAAAGATACACTTTTTACGCGATCTGAATGTCTCTCAAATTTGACAAACATATTTATTACACGTATATAATAATTATATAATATTTATTATAAATAATTCAATCAATAATATTCATTTCCCAATATTAAAATGAAATTCTACCCTAAACCAATATATTATTAATTAGTTAAATATTATAAAATTAGAAATATTTTGTTTAGAAGATAATTCAGATAATCATTCATTAAATAAATTCATTAGATTTCAATTAAAAATTTAATAAAAATATAGGATCTAAAATCATATTATTTTACATTATAGACTTTGATTTTTCCAATCATTTCGTTTCTATTAGGATTAAAAGAGTTCTAAATTCTGAAAGATGCTATTTTAATTGAATTTGCAAATTAAAATGATAGGAAATAAAAAGAGCTATATTTGAAATATGGATAAATAATAAGAAAGGATTATGAAGAATAACATAATTATTACATACCTTTTTTTTAATTTAAATAGAATTAAGAAATTTCTAGATAAAAAGAAAGAATAAGAGACCTATGCTANCACCACTTGTTATAATTAATGGTTCAGATTTATGAAAAGCACACCAATTTAATTAATCTTTATGTCCATCCATAATTGCTATTACTTATACTTCAGCACCAGAGAGTACATACTCTTGATTCTTCTTTTATGCATATCTTTATTTAAGTACTCCATAATTCCATAATCTTGCTGTTTAATCTAATGAACAAGTCACTATGAAGTCTTATGTTGGATGGAAATGACATGACATTATATAATGTGTATGTCCTGTTAGTATAGCAATAGTTTATCTGCTTTAATAGTTCCATACTCTAGCTGTTTGATCATCAGATCCAGATAATACCCAAGGATTAATTGGATGAAATGTAACACATCTTACATAATCTAAATGTCCCTTCAATACAAATTGACATTATTTAAAATTCCACACTCTTACTGTATAATCATCTCCTCCAGAACAGAACAAATTCAATTATGGATGGAATTAAACTGATCGAACAGCACCTTAGTGATCCTCATATGTTGCTATGCGTTTTTTAATACGATAATCAATTAGTTCTATTACACCAGAATGAAGTGCACTCAATACCCAAGGACGATGAGGGTGGAAAGATACACTTTTTACGCGATCTGAATGTCTCTCAAATTTGACAAACATATTTATTACACGTATATAATAATTATATAATATTTATTATAAATAATTCAATCAATAATATTCATTTCCCAATATTAAAATGAAATTCTACCCTAAACCAATATATTATTAATTAGTTAAATATTATAAAATTAGAAATATTTTGTTTAGAAGATAATTCAGATAATCATTCATTAAATAAATTCATTAGATTTCAATTAAAAATTTAATAAAAATATAGGATCTAAAATCATATTATTTTACATTATAGACTTTGATTTTTCCAATCATTTCGTTTCTATTAGGATTAAAAGAGTTCTAAATTCTGAAAGATGCTATTTTAATTGAATTTGCAAATTAAAATGATAGGAAATAAAAAGAGCTATATTTGAAATATGGATAAATAATAAGAAAGGATTATGAAGAATAACATAATTATTACATACCTTTTTTTTAATTTAAATAGAATTAAGAAATTTCTAGATAAAAAGAAAGAATAAGAGACCTATGCTATAGGAAAAAAGAAAAATAATACTCATTGTAGTCAAAATAATTAAAAAAAGAAGACCCAAAAAATTTAATTTTATTTAAATAAATTATAGGAGTACCATTAAAAGAATATTCTAATTAGTTTTATCTAAATATTAATCCTAAACTGAAATCTTGTTTAAAAGTTAAGTTTGAAAAGAAAACTAGATTTACATCATTAATAAAAAATGATATTTATTACATGAAGAAATTGCTCATAAAGTATTAACTCAAAAAGCATCTGAAGTAAAAGCAATTTATGAAATGATTGTCTAAGATAATGAATTAAATGAAATGCATGAACTTTGATTGTATCCAATTTACAATGTTTAAAACAATAAATATCATAAATTCATACAACTCATAAATTCTAGACTCTACAATTCTTGAAATTCAAATGTCTTGTGGAAGATAAATAAATAATATTTGGTTACTTATAAATTTCAAATTGAGAAAGAATTCAATGATTTATAAGATAAATAAATATAGACAATTGAAAAACAATAAAATAAATAAGAAAAGAAGATGAAAGTTGAAATATATTATATTAAATATATAAATTAATTTTAATGGGTCAATCGCAAGCATAACCGATGAAAGCATTATTTAATGTAGGAAGTGATAATGTATTCTATTAAAACATATTAAATAATAGGAATTTTAAGTGAAATTAACCTTATTCTTAGGTTAGGATTCACCTCCAATTTTACCTATAGAAGCTAGAGAAATCATTAAGCATGAAAAATTTGCATAATTATTAGAATTACTTATTGAAAGAATGCAACATGAGAATAATAAAGTTGTTTAGAACACCTTAAAGAATTTAACAATTTTCATTCCAATATTATTGGCAGAAAATCATCAATTAATAATATCTAATAACTCTAGAGTAGAAGTAGAGGTAGTGAATAGAATAACAGTTGTTAAAGCTGATGAAGATATAGAACCATTGGATGCTGCTAATTTAGCTTAACCAAGAATATTTAGAATTATTGATAATCTTATGATTTTATTATTTCGTCCTGGATTTACAATATAAGGGAGAGATACATTTAGTTTAGAAAATGATCCTAGATTAAAATCTTTGCTTAAGTAATGGTTAGATAAGGATATCAAATTGAAACTAGAAAATATTTGGAGAGGTCTAGCTACATTGACAAAATATCCAAATGATCAAAAACAATATTATGAAAATAGAGTCTTAGTTTTAAGTTGTCTATTAGCATGTTTGGAGGAATAATTATATCTAAAAGAGCCAAAATCAAGTTAAGCATTATCATATTTAGCATTTGAAGATCATGTTGAAATGTTTGCTTCTCTTTGGGCAGTTATATTATTTCATAAACATGGATACTTTTGGTTTTAAGATAATTTATTATATTAATAAAAAACTTGTAGATATATGGCAATTTTAAGTGCATAAATTTTAAATATTATTTTTTCTTTTGAATCTGATGAAAACAAATTTAGAAAGATAGTTATTGAAACTAATTTACTTGATTATTCATTTGACTTATTGATAGAAAATACTTAGCAATCCCTTATTTCTGATTCAAACTTTATTACAACTAAAGGTCATGATAATAAAGGAGTACAAGAGTTTTTAGGTTTACTTTATTTTTTGTTAACTAAAAATAAATATGCAGAAGATTACTTGAAACATCTATCAAAATAAAGAATTATTAATTTATTATAATTATTATTGTATTATATTGCATAATTTATGGACAATGAAGTTAATTATGAAGTTTATTAAATATCATTAGAATTGTTAGACTATTTATTTAATTTTGAAAATATAGGAAAGATATCATAAGAAATAGTTGATGTTTAATATAGAGTAAAGGTTTTACCTATTACTTATGGAACTTATTAAGATTATATATTGAGTTATTATAGTCATCTTTTGCTTTTAGATTTTAGAAGTAGAACAAAATTTTATGTTGAGCGTTTCAAAAAGAAAAATCATAATTATGAAAATATGGGATATCTAATACATTATAAACCAGAACTATTATGTAGAACAATATATAAAATGTCATAATTTACAAAATAAATTTCATTAGATGCATCACTCATATTTGATGAAGCAATAAAAAAATATTACCTATATGAATTTTTATTTTTAAACACAACATAAATAAGCAATCAAGAATTATTGACATTGGCATTATTTAATTTTATAAAGAATGGTTGTTGGACAGTTTTGTATTAATTACTTTAGAATTGTGAATAAATTGTTAAATTCTAATTTACAGATAAAAAGTTATTCAAATTTTTTTAATGTTGTGATGAAGTTGAATAAGAATTACAGAATAAACAAACAAATAAATCAGAATAATTAGAAAGTATAATTATATTCTATAATTAGGATTTTAGAGTTATATGGAAATATGGAAAGATGTTAAGGGGAGATTCTAAGGTATTCATATTTAATAGTTAAAATAAATAATTGGGATTACTTTTTAATTATTAAATTCAGCTAGTAAAGTAATTTATGGAATAAGTAAAGAAGAATTTATAAATTTATTTAAAAAAACTAGTTGGTCCTTTATTTTAGAGTTTTAAGTTGAACTTGAAAAACGAGATTTTCGTTTGGATATCTATGCTTTTAATTAGTACAAACAGTAACTTGAATACATGCCATTAATTGATTTAGAAAAATGCATTTTTATTTGATAATATTAAATTTTTATTAATAAAATTTACATCAGAATAGAATAATATATAAATTTATTAAATTTAATCTAATGTAAATACTAATCATTCAACCTTTAATAACATCCTCATAATTTTATATACACTAGCTTCAATCATGCTTGATACAGTGAATATACCTCCAATTACAGCACATACTTAAACTATGAAATGCAAAATGTCTTCTTTTGTTTACCAATAAGTAACACTTGTTGGAGCAAAATCATATCTTAATAATAATAATAAATACCTTAATTGAACATTACCATAATGATGTGATCTTACTTCATTATGATTAGCTGTATACTAGTAAACTGAATAGATTTATTTATTTAACAATGTATAATGAGTTGGAATAATATTAATAAAGTGTTCATGTTACATCTAAAATATTTAATTATTAATACTGATTAACTAGCTAAATCATTTTTTTTAATTCTTTATGTGCCACTCAAACTCTCTAATTAACCTTGTTAAAACATACTCTTGACTTTTTTAAGAGCATTTTCATCACCAAAAGAAAATGATATAAATTTATGAGAATAATCTAATGGAAGATTTATATTGCCAACTTCACTAATGTAAGAATGAGATCTATGAGGACCAAATGATATTTTCCCTCTAACTCTATTAACTTTTAAAATTCCAACAACTTCACATCCTTATTTTTCATTAATTGCTTTTCTGGCATCTTCAGTAACAACCCAATTATTATTATTTCTAATCTATTATATCAATATCATTATTACATATTCATTAATCCTACTTTCACTTTAATCAAGTCTGTAATATTTTAATTCAATGAATTATTATGATAAGCTCTATCCCATTGCATCTTATTAATCTATTTCTAAAAAGTCACATGGAGCCTTTACAAATTTAATGTCTAAATTCACTTAAACTCTATCTTTTGATAATTATTGATCCACAATGATTTCTGATTGAACATCTATTGTAATATACTCCTAAACAAATAATTGCAATTATCCATTACAATCACTTCATTCATGATCATTAATCCCAGCAATACCAAAGTTATAATTGAAACTACAGCACCTGAACTTGTAGGCTCTGCCAATCCTTTTGGAATTTTACCATATAAATCTATTGCTTTTAATAATTTCATTAAATTATTAATATGATTGAAGGTGATACATATTAATATTTCCAGGAATTTAAAAACTTGAGTGGAAATCATTTTTACACAATCAGGATTGTAAAAACAAAAATAAAAATGCACAACATCATCTAAATCATTTTAGTTATCAAAGGTCAACAATGCTCTCCTTCTTTATTATTATAATAAAATACTTGAGTAGAAACATTCTATAAATGCTATTAGTGAAATCATTAAGAATAACAAAATTTATTATTGTAATGACTTTCGAGTCAATTAATTATTTTTGTGAATAATTGCAATTAGTTTAATTATAAAAAGACTTATAATAAAGTAATATTGAAGCATTATCATTTTATATAATTATAGTTTATAGATAAGACTAGAATGTATAGAATTTCAATTTAGAAATATTATATTCATATAAAAAAATATAAATTCTATTTTTGACTGCTTTATTCTATAAATTCTAAATTCTAAGTTATAAGTTATAAGTTTTCTTCTTTTTGTTTTGTTAATAATATAAGAATTCAATTTCAAGATTTGAGATATATTATTATTTAATATATAAAATGATTAGTTCTATTGTGTTTATTAATCACAAGGGAGAAATTCTTATATATAGAGTTTATAAGGATGACATAACAAGAAGTGAGACTACACAATTCTGTGCTAAAATTGTGGCCACTAAAGAAAATAAAGAATGCCCAATTATCAATATTGATGGTAAATAAATAATATTTAAAAAATTTAGGAACATCATTTATCCATATTACTATTAAAGACATTGTAGTTTTAGCCACAACAAAAGTAAATGTAAATGTAGCTATGACCTTACAATTTCTTTATTAATTAGTACCATTAAAATATTAATATCTAGGTTAAAGTATGCAGAGCTTATTTTGGTGGAGAGTTTGATGAAAATTGTATTAAAAAACATTTTGTACTTATTTATGAAATTCTGGATGAAGTAATGGATTATGGTGTTCCTTAAATAGCTGATGCAGATCTTTTGAAAAAAGTATCCAACTTATTACTAGAATTTTATAGTATATTTAAGAAGGAGGATTAAAACCAGAGTTAATGAATGATGTAGAGAAATTAAAATAATTAACATCATAAGCAACAGGAGCCACTTCTTGGAGACCACCCAATCTTGTATATAGAAAGAACGAAGTTTATTTAGATGTCATAGAGAGTGTGAATGTTTTGATGTCTGTAAAAGGAACAATTTTAAAAGCAGATGTAGCTGGATCAATTTAAGTGAAATGTTTATTGTCTGGGATGCCAGAATGTAAATTTGGAATGAATGATAAATTGTTAATGTAGAGAGAGCCACGTAAACCTGGTCAAACAACAACAGATAAAGGTATAACAATTGATGATCTAAAATTCCATCAATGTGTGAAATTACCAAAATTTGATAAAGAAAGAGCAATAACATTTATTCCACCTGATGGTCAATTTGAGTTAATGACTTATAGAATCACTGAAAATATAAATTTACCTTTCAAAATTATGCCTGTGTATAATGAATTAGGAAAAAATAAATTAGAGATTAGAGTCAAAGTATTTAAATTTTATAATATTTTTGTAAGATTAAATCAATTTTTGAGAAGAATCTATTTGCTACAAACTTAGCTATAAAAATTCCAGTACCTAAAAATACAGCAAATGTTAATACTAATTCAGCTATTGGGAAAGCAAAACATGAACCAGATTAATAAGGAGTGATTTGGAGAATAAAGAAATATCCTGGAGATTTTGAAGCTTTATTACGTTGTGAAATTGATTTAGGTTAAACAACAAATTAATAACCTTGGATTAAACCACCTATTTCAATGGAATTTTAAGTTCCTATGTTTACAGCAAGTGGATTAAGAGTAAGATTTTTAAGAATTTATGAAAAAGCAGGATATAAACCAACAAAATGGATTAGATATATTACAAAAGCTGGTGAGTATTTACATAGATTGTGATAATAAAATAATCCAAAATATATTTATCAATTATCATGATGTGTCTTATATCTTATGTTACGAGCCTTACTTTAATATTTCAAAGTTTAATAAGATTGATAGATTTTATGAGCTTGTTTGATATTGGGAGTATGTGGTCTTTACTTAATCTTTAACTGTTTCTTAGGTTCTGCTAATCTATCTTATTATTTAGATGAACAAGCACTACTAATCCTTAAAGGACCTGTTTTTGAATAATTTCTTAGTTATCTTTGAAATTAAATATCAACATTATCCCACCAATTACATGGATTACATTATCCACCATCATTTACAATCACAAAATAATCTCTTCCAGTTCCATCTCCCCAATACTTAGTAGTTTTTATAGGTATTTAAGGAGGTAGATTACCAGAACGTCTTAAAGTAACATTTGATTTAGTTAGATAATGCATCTTCTCTAAGTCATGACTTGCTTAAGGAGCTATTTAAGATTGCAGAATCTGATTCATTTATCCACCGTTAAACTTGCTTATGTAGGAATCCCTTCAATTCAGTCATGTTACATACCTCCCTGTGCCATCATTATGATAATTGTTCACTTTCGGCTACAATCGACAATATACTTAGCGAGCTGTCATTATAATAATTAATTAATCATTTCTACAATTCTCTTAATAAATGTGCTAAATAGATCAATGGATTAAATTCTAAAGCCTCTCTTTATTACTTCATTTAATGTTTTAAATGCTATAATTCTTGTTTATCTGGTGCTTCTTCATCATCTTGATCTTCTTGAATCTGATTCAATGCAAGATTTATTTCCTTTTTCATTTCTTGAGGACTCAGATCATCTATGGAGATTCCTGTAGGAGCTTGTATTTAGTTGTTAATTGGAAATATCGATTCTTCGTTTTTTATAAGCTATTAACTCATTCCACCAAAATCATCATTCTCAGCAGAACCCTAGGATGAGGATTCATATGCTGATCCTAACTCATTTTTCAATCTTTATTTCTCTACTTTTTTTTATTCAATTCGATCAAATATTTTTATTTTCTTCAATCTTTCTTAATGCTTTCTTACTTCTTCTGTCTTTACCACATGATCTATTAGTTATACAAGAGCAGTATGAAGTTTTGGATATACTTAATTTTCTAAGTATTCTATTTCTTGCATTGAACTAATTGAATTTGTTAACTACATTAATTAATTTTACTATTTTGATAATCATTAATTCTAATTACGTATTACATAAATAAATATATTATTTTCATATTATATTAAATTATCTTTATATTTTTAAAATAAATTGACAATGTATGTTAGTTCATCGAGAAAATCGTTTTTAATTTTTATTTAAAAATAATGAAATCCTCTTTGATAGCCTGTCTATTACTAAGTGTCTTAAGTGTTGAGATAACTCTTAATAATGCAATAACAACTTAAGCTTTAGAAAAATTGAAAGAATCTTCATGGGCTTCATTTATTGTTGAATTTGCTGAAGTTGAATTATCTACAGGTGGAGCCTTGTCTGAATTAATAGAAACTATTAATCAATTGATTGAATAATTACAAGAAGAACTCTAAGATATTCATAATAAATATTCAAGAAGAACTGATGAACATAATCGTGATGTAACTAGACTAGAATAAGAAATCTAAGATGCTGCTAAAGGTAATAATAAAATATTATATAGATATCTTTACTGGATAAGATTTTATTGATAATGTTCTAATACCATAAAAGGAAAGATTCCAATAATCTTTGGTTTAATTGAAAATTAATATTGAAGAAAATAGAAGAGTATTAGATGGAGAAATTGTTAACAGAAAGAGATAACATGAATAATTCTTATCTAATATTGCTGAATTAAATGAAGCTATTGGTGCTGTTGATGAATCACTTGGATTATTATCATAAATTTCTAATCCATCACTTATTCAATTCAAGAGAGTTTAGACTAATTTAGGTAGAATTCAAACATCATTTTAAAATCGCTCATCTTTTGCTCCAATTATAAAAGCTTTACTTGAATTAGCAACTGAATAAAATTTTACAGATTAAGGTTCAGTATAATAAGTAATTATTATAATAATTTTATCCTTTTTAGCTTGTCAAAATATTTAATGAATTAAGAGTCCAATTTGTAGATTCTCTTAATTAAGAAACAGCAGATGAAAGTTAAGCAGAGACTAAATATACAGAAAGAGTTGCTTAATTAGAAAAAGAATTTGCAGAATTCTAAAGATCAGTTTTAATTAAAAATTCTGAATTAGCTGCTAATGAATGTATATTATATTTTAAAATATTTATTAGAAAAACTTGGAGAAACAATTGTCTATGTAGGATAACGAAAAGATGATAAAGAAACACTTGAAGCATAATTATAAGCAGAAAATGATAATTATGCTGCTGAAACAGATTTGTATACAAGAACTGTTACTGAATATAATAAAGAAATTGACATTAGTAAACAAGCTTATGGTTTACTTACATAACCTAGTTTCGAATCTTATGTTAGATCAACAGTTGGGATTTGATTAAAAAATATAGATAAAAAATATATATATATATATTTTAATTCAAAGAAGATATTTAATCAAATCTTTTGCAGCCATAGCAATAGATTTATCTTCCTTTTGATATTTATCCAAAACCTATACTAAGATTTCTTTCTTTTCTATCTTAAATGGTTTTTATTCATTTAATACAACCACCCAATGTAATAACTTTATTATTCTTTTATTTAATTAAGGGCATAATAAAGGAATTAATTAATTAAATAATTACTATCTTATTTATGAGAGTTTTCCTGGATAAAAATATGTCAAATGCAACATATAAGTTAATAATGTTAGTTGACATCCTGGAGTAGCAATATTAATTATTTATTAAGCATATTAAAGAGTGAAATAAAATTGGTCTTAAAAAAATAAGAATTCTTATGGGAAAGGTTAAGGAATCAAAGTATTATCTGGACTAACCACAATTTTATTATTCCCTCTTTATAATTCATTAATTATTTTGCTTGTGATTGCTACCATTATAGAAGATAGATCTTCAAAAGCCCATTCTTATTTCTATTTTGTAAATTATACAAATATTTATAATGATTTATCTAACATTTAATATTTAATTTATACCTATAATTTATAATTGTTTGAGATCTTCAATTGAACTACCCTCAACTATCTTTTGAATGATATTCAAAGTATGACCTGTTATATTATTACTATCAGGTTTGTACATATCTAATATAGCTTATAAGACTTCATGTCTTTTAAAATGAGGGAGAAAGAGCGAATTATATGTTAAGAGAATTGATGCTAATTTAAGTGCATAAAATGGTAAGGGAGGTTATTCTTGGAATAATTCCTTTAATAATGGTAGAATGAGAGTAGTTATGATATTATTCAATTCATTAGAGTAAGGTTTTAAGAAATTAGGATAATCATAAATTCCTTCTTCCTATAATAAAGCACTTAATAAATCTATGATCAATTTCAAAAACATAAATTTAGTTTCAGTACTCTATTACTTAACCATATAATCAATACAATTTTTGAGTACTTATTATATTATGACTTATTGTTATTTAATTAAAATTTTAGAATTAGTACACATTTTAGACATAATATTTAATAAAGTTGTTTGAATTTATGTTTTATTCTTTGATAATGATAATAATTCTGTAAGTATTGGTAAATATTAAGATGAGAATAATGATTGTTATAAAACAGGTGTTTATGAGTATTAGAATAAAACATTTAAATAATTGCCATTTGTTTTCTTTGGAGAGTATTCCATCAATTATGAATCAGTCAATGATTAATTAATCTATGTGATCATAATAGGAGTGCAATCACATAATTATTGTACTAAATGTTATAAGCATTATTTTAAATAATCATTATTATCTCTAAGCCCTTTATCTAAAATTTAATAAAATCTTAATTATTCTTCTGATAGATTAATAAGTGTAACTATATTAAATTTAATCATTAACATTAATGCAATAGCTGCCTTTCCTCTACTCACAGCATTACCATGATCTAATAAATAAACTAATCCTTTTATTAATTAAGCTATTTTTTAATTTTTCATATTTACATTCTTCCATTAATAATTTATTAACTGCATTTGATGCCAATTAAGATACATTATTACTTGATGAATCTTATGTGCTTACACTCTATAAAAGATGAATATTGAATATTGTAATCATTGCTTATTACACTCTCTGTAAATTATCTAAAAATATCTAAACTTATTAAATGAATATAAATACTGATACTAAACTCTTTAATCCAAGACTTTACATAAATACATCAACTTATTAATTATCTAACATTAGAAGATTAGCTAAAGTAATAGCACAACTAATTCTTAAACTATCATTTTTTGTAGACAAAAAGCATTGGAGAATCATTAAAACTATTTCTGATTTTGCAAATCTTTATCCTATTGATATTGATTATGATGAGATATTTTCAATTGTTTTTATACAATAAAATTTTACTAATTAGATTATTTAAATTATTACCAATTTCATCTTCATTCTATGATTTAATAACCTTAATTAATTAATTGAAACTAAGATTACTCATCTTCCAATAGGGATTCTAAGGATCTTCTTCCATTTAGGTTGCTCCATAAAATAAATATTCACCCAAAGCTGCTGCTGCTTTTCTCCTAACAGTGCTTTATTCTTTGGAATTTAATATTTCTACCATAGCTTCTGGTATTCCATGTTATGAAACTTCAGGTTCAATAACAGTAGCATGTCGTATCAATAATCCCAAAACACAGCAAATTCGATATTTTAATTAAGTTAATTTACTTACTGTTAATAATTTTAATAATAATTAAACATATGCAGAATTAATTAAACGATTAGCTGCATTAGATGTCTAAATAATTTATTCAAAATAATTTAGAATATTTAATTATTCCTATTATTTAGCTACTTGTAATGAATTATATATTTATTCAAAATGGAATTCTATTTAATCTGTTTCAATATTTCTATTAACATCATCTGAATTAATATATTAAAAAGGTAATGATTCTTTAGCAAATGTAGCATCAATTGATTTTTCAATTTCCCTATTACCTATAATAGGTTTGACTGAATTATCAGAACTATGAGTGAATAATTAATCAATAGGAGTCAATTAATCATTTTCATTTCCCTTCTTTTATTAAGGTGTAATCCCTCCTGGAATAGGTGATTAATTAAGAAGACTTTAAGTAGATGGATGTACTGAATCTTTTTTAATTGTAAATGGTTTCTATTGTAAATGAGGTGAATTAATAGAATTCAAATCTGATTATACATTAGTTTAGAATTCTTCAGGTTATTTATCAATTTCTTCATCCTCTTATTATTATTCTGATCCTATCAATATTTCTTAATCTTTATTTGTTAATTTGAAATCTTTCTCATTACTGCTAATCTATTTATGATATTATTATTATTAAGAACTACTAGGTACATCTTCTCTTAACATATTCTTATGGACATTCAAGGATAATCTTACAATATCAACTTATTTATTATTCTATTGAACAGGAGTTACTCTAACTAGATTATTTTTTTTGCACCATGTTTCAAAATGTGGTTGAGATGGTACATTCAAATATTAAATATTAAGGAATTTGCAGATCTTTTCCCAACCCCATCTTTTAAGAGGATCCTTCTCTAATAATCTAAGATTAAATTATAAACTAATACCCTTTAATAAAGTCCCAACATTAAACCTCTAATGGTTTTACTTCTGCATTCAAAATTAATTCAACTAATTCAGTAAAGCTACTGCATTAGAATGGAGGTTATCCAATACATAATTCATATGCAATACATCCCAAAGCCCATAAATCACTTTAAAAACTATATACTCCACCTTCATGAAATAATTCTGGTGCCATATAATAGGGTGATCCTCTTTTAGACATTTCTACATCTGGACCTATAGTAGCTGATATCATATCCACCAAACGTTTTGCATTTCCCAAATCACTTAACTTTGCTACTCCATATTCATTAAATAACACATTAGATGGTCTCAAATCACAATAAACTATAATTAAATTCAAATGATTCACTTATGCCTTTAGAATGCAAATAATTTAATCCTGCTGCCATATCCCTTACAAAACGTAACACTATGTTTTCTTATAACCCTTATTAATCTGCTTCAATTAGTGCCATTAAATCTCCTCCTGGACAATATTCTAAAATCACCCAAAGATGATTACGAGTCTCATACCAATGATAAAATTTCAAGATATTTGGATGTTTAAGACCAGAAAACATTTTAACCTGAATCATTTAAATTTATTGATACTTCATTCAAAAGTTTTGTACGCCTACTTTTTTCTAATGATTTTACAGCCATATATTCAATAGTCTTCTTCTTTCTTCCCTTATACACAACTGAATACTTTCCTTTTCCTATCTCATCATATATATGATAGTTATTCATAATTTTAAATTTTGTTTTATTTTATTTTATGGGCAAGAAGAAATTCATCAACAAATAGAATGCTGCTACACTTAAAATGGTTCATTAACCAGGTGAAAATAATCAAGGAGCTACAGACATGATTTGTTTCTAAAAAGTTAATTAACCTGGTGTTCAAAATGAATTGTATTCTCATCTAAATATTGTAGATCTGAACTTATTGAAAAAGAACTAAACAAAGGTAAATTTGATCCTAATCTTAAACCTCGAATCCCTTAAATTGATCCTACATAAGATGCTTTAAATTTAGTTGTTGGAAGAGAAGACCTTTGGATTCATCAATTAGCTAAATAAAAGGCCTAATAAGCACTTAAAGAGAAATAAGAATAATTTTAAGATGTAGTAATGAAACATTATGATGAAAATGGATTACCTTTAGATGGGTATGATTATTCATAGCATCTTGCTCCAGAAAGACGTAAACATTTCATTTATATCATAATTTAGCCTAAGGAGAAATAGAATGTGTTTTTGTTGTTCCTGAAGAAGAGAGATCAAAGGTAGTGTATGATATAGATTTTAAAAGAGAAGAATTAACAAAAGAATAATAAGAAGTTTATGATTTGTTGATGAAAGAAGAAGAGGATAATGATAATGAAAATAATTAAGAGAATTAAGAAGAATTAGATGATGATTTTGTTGTAAATTTAATTCAATAAAATAAATAATAATCCTTTTAATAAGAAAATTTGGAGAAAGTAGAAAAAATAGAGAAGATAGCAGAATCACCTAAAAAATAAGTTAGATTTTAAGATTAAGAAGAATCAGATAATGAAGAAGATTATGAAGATGAAGAAGAAATGGAAATAACTTATGATAAAAAATAAATTAATTAAAAATCATAATAAAAATAATAATAATAATAATAATCTAAATAATAATCTAAATAATAATAAAGTGATTCTGACTCAGAATTAGAAATTGATTCAGATATGGAAAGAGAATTTGAAAGAGAAATGAATGCTTATGAAGCACCTGATGATGAAGATGATGAACAATAAAATAAAGATTTTGTTAATGATTAAATGCTTAATAAAGTTATTGATGATCATCTTAATACAATGACTAAAAAATAATAAAAAAAGTCTAAAAACTAACCAAAAATAAAAGATCAACCTGAAGAAACTGAATGTATTATATATTAATTATTGTAGAATAAAGAGAAAAAAGACTTGATTATTTAAGAAATACAGATTATAATGAATACTTAAGATAAAAATTCCCTAATGCAGATTTTTCATAATTTCATCTAAAGAAAGAAATACCACCACTCACTCCTGAAGAAGATATAGCATTATAGAATTATCTAAATAGAGAATCCAGTGATGAAGAATGTCCTGATATGGAACCTGCTGAAAAGTATTAAGAAACTATTGTTACTAAATCTCTTCATAATACTACAATGTCAAAGATGAACCCAGATTAATTAAACATGATTAAATATAAATCAAAAAACTTAGTATCAACTACAAAAGAAGATCGAATGAAATTAAAAGAATAAGAAAAAATTAAAATTAAAGAATTAAAATAAGAAAAAGAGAAGGTCAAAGAGGCTGTTTGTGGTATATATATATTCTAATACAATTTTAGAAACTTTGAAATAAGTAGTTATAAAAAAAGAAGAAACTCCTGAAGAAAAGAAACATAGAAAAGAATTAGTGAAATAATTGAAATAAGCTTAAAAAGAGAAAAAAAAAGCATTTAAAGAATAATTATAGACTATGTCAAAAAAACTATAAAAATAAAAATTAGCTAATATTTAAAATAATTAAACCGAAGGTGTTTCAATTGTTAAAATAGCATGATTATTATATTTTTGTTTCATATTATCTAATAACATTGTTATCAATAATACTTTATTTATTAGTTATATTTTAAAATATGAATACAGTTATTGAATAAAATAAATTACAGAACTTAGCTATTTACATTAATGAAGAAGAAAAGAAATTCCAAAAACATTTAGAAAAAACAGAAAAAACAAATTAAAAAAGAATTGATCTTGAAGAGGAAATACATAAAATTCAATTAGAGATCATAAGTAAATTATATCAAATAATATTATAAGAGCAAAACCATTTAAAAGAAAAAGCTGAAAAGCTTCAAAAAGATTACCCTTAATTACTCGAAGAAAAATAACATGAACTTGTTAATCTCTAGTAAGAATTATCATTGACTACTGCAGCTAAAAAAGTAAATTATTTATAAAACTTAGGCAGCTTAATAAGAATATGATATTTAGATTAAGCATCTATAGTAATAAATTGCAGAATTGAGAAGAGAAAAACAAGATTTGAAAAGAGAAAACTTAGGGAAATAAGAAAAATAAACAGCTTTGCGTAATGACTTATAAAAGTTTGGAAAAGCATTATAGAGTAGAGAAAAGCCTCCTGTTGAATATAAAATCTATAGTTCTTCTGGGGGATTTGGACCTCTTTATTAGCCATAAGAGTAATAGTAGTAAAATATGTTTTATTGATATAATTGATTAATTACTAAAGTATATTTAATTATATTTGTCTTGTAACTTAATGCAATAAGATCCATATAATTGGCCTTTTCCTCATCGTTAAGATCTCATGAGTCTTTCAACAATAAGTAATTAAAATATATAAATTTTAGAAAACTAAAAAAGAGATTACATCTATGAAAATAGATCTTAATCTACAATGACAATATAAGGCATTGATGGAGCAGCTCCTAAATTAAAACCATACCAATATTTAAATAAAGAATAATTTTGTAATCGTGATGACGATATTCCAGGAACTAAATCTCGACCACTAATTAGATCAAGCAATAGATCTGATAATTAATTAATGGTTGATGATATTAAAGGAACTAGGCCTAAAGTTAATAAATTTTCAACCAATCGAGACCCTGTTAATCCTCTTGAACCTGTTTATAAAATAGCATCTTATGAATAAGCTGAACCCTTATAACCTAAATTCATAAGAGATAGCTATAATGTATAGGATATTGAGGGTGCATAACCATCATTCATGAATCCTAAATTAAAGAAATAGCCTGTTATTATGGAAGAGGTGGAAGGGTCACATCCGAGATAACTTTTCTTACCTAAGGGTATTAATGTATTAAAGTGAAGATTATGTTGACTCCTTGTAAGTAAAAGATATCAATAATGATTAATTACATAAATATATTCGAAATACTAATCCTATTGAGCCTATTTATTAGCATAGAGATGAAGAAGGGTATAAAAGAAAGATGATAAAATTAGAAAATTAGTGCAGATTGGTTTTATAGATGGAAGCAAAACAAAATAATTACATCCTATTACAATAAATAAATTTGCTTCATCAATTCTAACAACTTAAGATATTGTTGGTGCTTAAGCTGGATCTCATTCTTAACATTTTTTGAGAACAAATTAAAGGAAAGACTATAGATAAACAAATAGTATATCTGATATTGAGGGTGTAAAAGCAGGTACACTTAAAAAAGGAATAGAAAGTAAAAGATATACAAATCCATTAATGCCTGCTTATCAAATGCCAGGAAATAGTGAAATTTAGTAATTTATATTTTGAATTTTGATTAGTTCCATGAAATCAAAAAGTGTATTTTAAAAAAATGCAAGTATATAAATGTTGACAAATGCATAGAAGTTGGATTCCTTCTTACCTTAAATTTGATAAATTTAAATTATCATTATATGTCATCTTATTAAGATTTTATCAGATTTAAAAAATTCATAATATTAATTATTGCATTTCATAAACTTAGTATTTCTATTAACTTTTATTATTTAATTTAATGAATTAGCTTGTGAATAATAATCCTACAACAGACTAAGGTGCAATTTAAGCTGCTTTCCCAGGAGAATACAAAAATTTTGCTCCAATAGGAAGAGGTTCTTATGCAAAAGTGTATAGAGCAGAAACAGAAAATGGTGAATTAGTTGCTATAAAAGTAGATAATTATTTAATCCTTATAGGTGATTGATTTAAAAAATATGTAAAAGGAGATTATTCCTTACATGTAAAATGAAATGAAATTATTATCAGAAAGTGATAATAAAAATGTGATTAAGTTGTTCAAAAGTAACCAAACCAATGAAAAATTAATTTTAGTTCTAGAAGTAATTATTATTAGTTAAATTTTAGTATTGTTAAATAGATGTAGAATTTATGGTGAAAAGATATTTTAAAGGAAAATTATCAGATGATTTAGTAATAACTATATTGAGATAACTTGCAAATGGATTATCATATTTACATAGAAATAAAATTATTCATAGAGATTTGAAATTAGAAAATTTTGCTGTTCAATTAACTTAAGAAGATCAGGATGCCTTATAAAATAGAAATGATTTAACAGTATTTGATAAAGCCACCTATAAATTAATTGACTTAGGATTAGCCAAGAAGTTAGGAGATCTTTAAGCATAAACTAGTACTTGGGCAGGAACAGAATTAAATATGGGTATCATATAAATATATAAATTAAGCTCCTGAAATTTTAAATGAATAAAAGTATTCATTTTAAGCTGATATGTACAGTCTTGGAGTCTGCTTATACTACATGCTTGTTGGTAAATATCCTTATTTTGATCCAACGAATAGAACTCCCCTTTAAGATTTAATAAAAAAGGAGAATGTTGATTTAAATCATATTGCTAATCTTTAATTGAGGAGTTTGATATAAAAAATGCTTAAATTTGATCCTAAACAAAGGCTTACATTTTAGGAATTATATCAACATGAGTTTTTTAAATATAGAGAAGGAGATTTAGCTAATCCAATTGATTTAGAATTAAATTAAAATTAAGGCATTTATTCTTAAAGATTGGATGAGTCAGTTTTAGAATAAAATCCTATAAAACGATAAAGTGAAATATTTTAATAAGAGAATGAAAGCAAATCTTAAATTTAATAAGTTATGAATACAGAATAATAATAATAATTCAATGATTTTATAAATAATCCAAAAATTTAAGAAAAAAATTAAGAGTTTTAAACTCCAGAAGTAAAGAATATGTTTCCTACTAGTAAGTTTGATCCTTAAAAAAAATAAAATGATTAAATCATGTAACTCTATCATATAAGAAATTAATATATCGCAATTTTGAAATTAGCTGAATATCTTGAGCAAATAATCCCTTTAGTTAAAAATTCTAAACTTGATTTTTTGACTATGGCATAAAAATTTAACATGTATATCGAATATCTAAGAATGGTTTCTAAATAATTATACTTAAAGTTATAATAAAGATTCATTTTCTTTTAACAATCTTTAGGACCTTATGATAGATTTTAATTATTGTAAAAGTAAGTCAAATAAGAAGATTAACCAAAACTTGAAAAAGTGTACGTTAGAGAAGGAGATAGTAGTGGAATGATTTCATGGTTTAAGAAAAGTGTTTTTAAGTAAATTTAATGTGAACCTCATGACTCTGCCAATTTTAATTAATAATACTAATAAAACAACATTGAATTATATAAAGAATTGTTGAAGATGTTACAAGATTCATTTTATAAATATACAGATGATTCTGATCCTAAAATTAAAAGAATTAAATGTTTAATCTATTTATCTATGATAAATACTGCTAGATCTAGAGTACTATTTTAAGTGGAACTTTAAAATACTGATTATAAGGCTGAAGAACTCCTATTAACAAAAGCCCGCGATGAGCCAGATATTCTTTCAGAAAAAGTAACAGCAATTTTAGCTTAATATAATTTACAATATATTTGAAAGCTTCTATAATTTTAAGTATTCAAAAATATAAATTTTATATATTTTCAATCAAATTTTATTTATCAATCTTTAATATTTATGATTACAATTATCATAGAAGACTAGATATATATAAGAAAGAGTTCCTAAATTTGATACTTTTTCTATGAAGATTTATGTATGATGGCAAAAGATTGCTTCTTATTTTGGTTTTTTATTTATTGAAATTAAATTAAGATGATAATAAATCTTAAGTATTATAAGTTTTTTACCATAACCTAATCAAGAATACTTTGAATATCCTACAAATTGTTTTTATTTTCAATTTTTCTAATATTTTATAAGATTATTAGTAAAGTATTAAAATGTAAATATTAGATACTTCAAAGAAATTTATTTGGATAAAAAATGTTTTAGACAACAAAAGTAAAGAAAGAAGAAAAGTATAAGTTAAAATAAAGGATGTTGATTAGTTTATTAAAATAAAAAGAATTATTAGACTTTATTTAGTTATAGATATTTCATTACATAATTAATCAAATATTGTCTTTGAAAAGTCTTCCTATTGAAGTTTAACTTCCTTTAATGTCAATGTTCTCTTTATACAAAGAAGATTTTCTAACTTCAAAATAGGTGGATTCCTTATAGAATTACATTTAATTAATACCTTAATATTTTTGATATCTTATCCTCTTTTCTTATAAGCATCAAATTCTGCTTGAAGCATCATTAAATCTTCTTGAACTCGATGATAATCTTTATTTAAAATAGAGAATTTTTGCCTCCAAGTTTCTACTTCATTTTATAAGTAACTAATTCTATCTTCTAAATTAGAAAGGTCAATATTATTATTTTATTCAATTTATCTCATTTAAGAATCTAGTTCTACTAATTACATTTATTTTATTTTTAATTCTTCTAATAATTTCTCTAACTTGAATTTTAATGAACTTTCAGATTCAATCTTATATTCTAATTCTTTTTATAAATTTTTTGCTTATAAATTAGTTTGCTCATTTAAATATTTCAACTATTACTCTACACCTTACAAATGAGAAATCTAATCTTATTAGAAATAATTCTTCTTATTTAATTCTTCTTCTAAAGAGAGCTAATATTTAAGATCATTTTTTAAACTATCAATTTATTTCATATTTTCATCTATTTATTATTAAAATTCTATTAATTTAATTTCTTATTTCTTACAATTTTCTTTGAATTTTTCTAATTCATCTACTTATTACTATTTACTCTATTCATATTGAGATAATTTTTCTTATTATTGATTATTTAAGATTTATAATTTTTCCAATTCAAAACATTAGAGTAATATTTATTCTATTAATTTTAACTTTTCTTCTTTTAGATTATCATTTTGTTATTATAATGTAGCAATTTATTCTGATGAATTTTATTAATTATTTAAAAGATTTGACTGAAGATCTGAATTTTGAAGTAACAATTTATCTTATTCTTTATTCAGCGAAGTTATTTATTCTTTTAATTATTATTAAACTACTTCAGTTTCGTTAATTCTTTCATTTATTTATGTTTGATTATCTTCTAATTATAGCTATTATTATTTAATTTCAGTTTATAAGAGAATGTTTTTAATTTCAAGATCTGTTTTTTGTTATTGTAATTCTTAAATGAGATTTTATAATTATTTATTAGTTTCTATTTATGATTATAGTTAATTTTCAAATTATTAAAGACTTTCTGATTTTAAATTTAAATCATCTTTTAATTCAACAATTAATGTTTCATTCTATCTTAATGTTAATTGTAAATTTTTAATCATCTCTTCTAAATTATCTAATTTACTATTTTTTGTTTATAATTCATCAGATACGGAATCTAATTTATTTGTTTTTTCTTATAATTAAGTAATCAAAGATTTATTTTAATCTTTCAAATCATCAATTTCTTTAGTATTATCATTTAATAATTATTAAATTTATTATAATTGATTAACTAAAGCCTCCCTTTCTTATTTTGTTAATTAATGTTCAGTATCTTTATTAGACAATAAATTTTCATGATTTTATGTTTATTAAATCAATTGATATTATAAATTTTAATTATTTTGATCATTAATAATTACTTGTTAATTTAATTATAGATTTTATTCTTTTTATTCATTTAATTCAGTTTCAAGTTAATTAATTTTATTATTTAAATTTTCTCTTTCTTTTTAAATCATATCTATTTTTTCTTCTTATAATTATTCATTTTATTGAGATTATACTAATTTCTATTCTAATAATTCTAAATTCTCTCTAAATGTTTACATTAAAGAATCCTTTTATACAAGCATTTATTATGTTTATTAATCTTTTTGTGTAATTTCATATTTAAGCTCATGAATTATATTATTAGAGTATATGAGTTCTTATTCATAATTATTGTGTTTCTATTATAATTCTAAAATTTAATTATTTCTTTCTTCAATTACATTTTATCCTACTTATAATTGCTTTTCATAATCTTAAACTCTAAATTTTAGTTATGAAATGACTTCATTTTTATCTTCTATTACAAATTATAGTCTTTCAATTTCAGAACTTAAAAGAGCAACTTTATTTTCAAGTACTTCTTATTATTTTAACTATGATGTTAAGAATCTAATTTAATCATCTTAATATGAGAATTATGATTTAAAAGTATTAAGTTCTGAATTTATATAAGTCACTTCTTGCTTATGATTTTTTTAGGTTTCTTCTAAAAGTTTTCTCATACTTTCAATTTCCATACTTGTATCAACCCAAATTTATTATTCGCTATCATATTTCTCTACCTACTAATCTAATTCATTTTAAAGTTCATTTATTCTTTGATTTAATTTATTATTTTCTTATGACAATTAATCAATCAAAGTTTCCTAAAATTAATATATTACTTACATGTCCTTAACATTTTTTTTCTGTACACAATTTAACAGTTCTAGTCTCTATTACTGGTCTATATGTAGTTGTAGTAACAGTTGTTTTAGGTCTTGATTAATAGGTAGTAACCTTTGCTAATCTACCACAAGAATCATGACGTTTGTCTTTAGGTGGAGAATTGACAACTCTTGTTGTTGCAATAGTCTGAGTTTGAAAAAATTTGGGAGATTGAGGTCTCATTGTGAGAGAAATCGTTAAATTTAATAATAATTTTTAATACAGTTAAAATGGATTAAGATGAAATAATTAAATAAGTGGTTCATGTTTTTAATAAACTATCTACAAACTAATAATAACCTATAAGTAAAGAGACATTATTAAGATTCTTGGATTCTCAATCAAATTAAGAATATGATAGAGGTCTTTTTGAGTAAATGTATGAATAAATAGTCAAAAAAGATTCTGGATAAATTACTATTTAAAAATTCATAACAGTTTTGATTGAAGCATTAAAATCATTGAAAAATAAGATATCTAACATAAAGATATAAATATCACAAAAAACCAAAAATTTAGAGGAACATTAATTAACCTTAAAAGAATTATAATCTCAAGAACAATTTAATTCATATAAAATATCCTTAGACAGTAGAATAAGAATTACTATTCATGATGCTAATATTCAATTTCCTGGAAATAGTCCAATTGCAGTTATTTTAGGATGTGATTAAATAAGATATTCTACAAAACCAGCAAGCAGAGAAAATCCTATATGGGAGGAAAAGTTTGATTTTGATATCAAAACTGGCAAAGAAGAAATTTATATTATTATTTTAGATAAAGAGTTGGCAGATAGAGAAGAAATAGGAGGATAAACAAAACTGAATTTACAAGATTTTTATGATTAATATCCTCATGAAATAACATTAGAATTAAAAGACAAATATAATGTAGTAAAGTATTCAACCATTAGAGCTAGAGTATAATGGATACATTCTTAAGTATTTTCATATATATGAAAGACAAAATATTGCACACAAGTTATCCAAGAATTAAAGCAAAATATCAAAAATCTTGATGATGATTTAAAGGAATATAAAAATTATATTCAGATGTTATTCCTTCCTTTTGAAGAAAACTATTATAAATAATAAGGGGATAAGTAAGAAGATAGTGATTATTCTACGAATTAACATACACCTTAGAATTAATTGGTAAGAAATCCAGAAAATTAATAATGGTTGAAATATGGGTTCATTTTAACATTGATTTACTCTATTGTAGGACTTTTTGCCTGTCTTTTTAAAACTTAGTTTTTGGATGTATATATATATATATTTTAGTCAATTGTAATATTCTAAAGCCTAATTTATTATTTGGATAATGATAAATTTTCATAATAATTACATCTTAAAGTAATTTCTCTAATGTTAGCATTCACACTTATTATTGATACATTTTGGCTCATTATCTTTACTAATCCATATATTAATAATGATGTATTATTTTATTAAATTGAACATGGGTTTCAATTATATGAAGTCATTATGCAATATATATTATTTGGAATTAAAGTAAATTTTATTATATTCATTAGATTTCTTTAATATGTATATATGCATATATTTATTTTTCAGAAAATCTAAATGAAAATTCCCATGATGATTAAGCATATTCTTAATCAAAAAGAGAAAATTATAAACTAAATGATAATCCTCTAGAAAGAGATAATACAAAAAATGAGAATTATTAAGTTAAACAATATTTATGAATTTAATCTATTCATTATTTATAGAGAAATTTGATATTTGAATACGCTTATTAATAATTCTAATAGCTGTATTTAATATTAAAATTTAACAGTTCAACTTTCTAATTTATTTTCATCATAATCTTAAAATGGAACTTGATAAACATTAATTGAAGAATTTGATAAACGTCCTCCATTTTTTTTTAAATCTTACTTTTTCTTTATCCTGTTTGCTAATCTCAAATATAAATTATTTTATTATTTTAAAAATTCTTCATGAACAGTGGAATCATTAGCTTCATTATTTTTTTCAAACTATCCAACAATATTCTCACAAGCTCTTTCATTCACTTTTTATACTTCTTCTAATTCATACAAATGAACCATCTTCTTTTATTTATAATTATCTATTTGAATTATTGGGATCTCTGATTGATTAGCCATTATAAGATTTTTTAAGATATCATCTTAATCTTATTTACTTTTTCTTACTATCTATTATAACAATTGATGTTGTTTATCCATAAAATAATATGTAATTGGATCCATTTATGAATCATAATATGAAACTATTTCTCCATACATTTGAGTCATTTAAACCAACTAAATTCTTAATCACAATCACACACACATACTTCATCCATGCATATATCCTCTTTCGTGGCTTTCTCTTCATATTTTAATAATACACAATAAAACTGTTTTGCAAGGGGTCTCTTAAATGCTCTATCATCCATTGTTTTCATAGTATAAAAATTAATTTATAGAATATGATCAATTTCTAAACAAAACCTTTTTATAATTTTAACAATTAAAATAATTACTCCATATCATTTCTAAATATATATATCATAGAAGCCTTTTGAATTTAAATAATTCAATTATGCTGAATCATATATTTAAAATAAATTAAAGGTATTTAACATTATACTATATCTCTAAATTCTCTTCTTTATAGAAATTTCATATGTAATATATCTCTCTTAAGAAAAAATTTTAAGAACATTATTGAGTTTATGCAAATCTTTATTATGGTTACTCATAAAAATATGAAAAAATAGCGTTGTTTTATTTTAAATTTTAAATTTTATAAATGTAATATTTGGAAAACATGGAAATATTAGTATATAGGTGTGTTATATAGTATTGGAATGGGTCTAGATAAGCAAGCAAAATGGGATTATATGAATGTTTATTGAATGGATAACATATTATAAAAAATTGATTAAGAAATAATCGAGATTTGTTAAATATTTAAAAAAATAGATATTTATATTTGATTGCATGAGCAGAAAAGAATAAGACATCAAAAGATTGATTGCTTCACAAGTAAAAATGTTATTTAGATTTCACTATAGTGCCACATTGGAACAAAACAACTTCATTTTGACTTAAAGAGATATGTATCTCATAGAAGTGATAATGGTTCATACATTCTCAATTTAGAAGAAACCTGGTAACACATTAAATTGGCTGCCAGAGTTATTGCTGCAGTTGAATAACCTCAAGATGTTATGGTATGTTAAAAATGAATAATTCAGGTTGTTTCATCAAGACCAATTGGTTAAAGAGCAGTCATTAAGTTTGCTCACTATACATAAGCCAGCTCAACTAGATCAGCAAGATGGACACCAGGTACATTGACAAATCAATCCAACAGTGCTAGTGGTAAATTCTAAGAACCAGCATTGTTGATTGTCACAGACCCTCATTTGGTAAGAATTTGAATTCATATATTTTTATAGGATAGATAAGCTATTGTTGAAGCCTCATACGTTAACATTCCAGTCATTGCCTTATGCAACTCTGACACTCCATTATAATTTGTTGATATCCCAATCCCAGTTGGAAATAGAGAAACCAAATCCATTTCAATGATTTATTGGTTATTGGCTAGAGAAGTCAAAATCTTAAGAGGAGAATTGAGATAAGGTATATATATATAATTTTACATTTTTTTTAGATGAAGAATGGGATGTATTGGTTGATTTGTTCTATCACAAAGAAATTACCAATGATTAATTGGGAATTACAGACAATTAAGTCAAATAAGAAGCTGAAGGTGAAGATCATGAACAATAAGCTGAAGGTGAAAAGGCAGATAAAGACTGGTGATAAAATATATTAATATTATGTAAAGTACATGTATAAGGAATGCGTTTAATTTTATTAATGATATTATTATTTCTTTATTTTATGAGTAATACTTTTAAATCTGCAGGCAATACTCTTGCTAAAGGTAATGATTTAGGTTAAACGAACTAAAGTTTTGGTGGCTCTCAAAATCCTGCTTCATTAAAAGGAAAATTGATGAGTTTGGAGGTATTTAAATAATATAATATTAGGAAACTATTAAAGGTATTCAAGATGAGATGAATTTTCACAAAAAAGAAGTTTAAATTCTGAAATCAGAAAAGGATACTTTAGAATCTGTTTTGAGCATGAAAACTTAAGATGTTAAAAAGACTCTTACAAATGAACTTATGAGAATAGAAGAAGAAATGAAAAGGTATTTACAATATTAAAATATTCTTAATTAGACATTTTGCACATCAAAAGGCTGAGAATTCAAGATTATAATAATAAATAACAGGATTAAAAGGAGAAAAGACTGCTTTATAATAATAATTGTTAGGATTGTAAAGGAGAATTGCTGAGTTGGAATTATAAGTTGGTTAAGAATAAGCATGAATAGTAATATAACCCAAAAGTTAAATCATAATTAAATTTTGTTATTTTATATTCATTAGCGATTGATTCATATTCCTTATTAATAAGTAAACCCTTCAAAATAAACATTCTGTTAAGAATCTGGAGTTTCAATTAAAGGCTATTATAAGAATGCTGGAGCAAAGTTAGACAAATCCTCTAAATGTTGAATTCGGGGGACTATTGGAGGCTAAAGTTTTCTTTGTTCAACTAGTTACCAATCTATTCCACTAAAAAAGTTGTGTTTTTTTATTTCTTGGATCCCATTTGAGCCTAATCGGAATCCAGGCTACATAATAAAATCATTTATACATCTTTTATTAGGAGTCCTTTTAGTAAAGATTATGCTTAAAGAGAAAAGTTAGGTTTCATTTCTAAAGGTTTTTCACATCTATTTTTCAACATTTCTCTTTTATTTTTAGAATAAAATGGAGGAGCACCACTTAACATTTCATATATCAAGGCTCCATAACTATAAAAATCAACAACAAAACTATGTCCTTTTTCTAATAAATGATAAAGAGACACAGTTTACAATATAGAATTTCAGGAGCAACATATTCTGGAGTACCACAAAAGGAATATGTCATTTCATTTCTCTCATATCCTAATTTAGATAATCCAAAATCAGTAAGAACTACATGTCCATCTTTATCTAGGAGAATATTTTCTGGTTTTAAATCTCTGTAAATAATTTTTTATTGATGCAAGTTATCAAGAGCAATTAAAAGTTCAGCAGCATAAAATTAAGTCCATTCTTCACTAAATTTTTATCTTTTTCTAAGATGAAGAAACAGTTCTCCACCTATCATAAAATCCATAACCATATAGAGTCTTGATGGAGTTTAAAAAGCAAAATGCAATTTTACAGAAAAAGGACTATTAACAAGTGTCATTATTTTTCTCTCTTATATTGCTTATTCCTATTATTTCTTTTTTTGTAACAATTTTTTCCTTAAAATCTTCACTGCATACAATTATTGATCTGCTATTCTTTTAACAAGTAAAACTTTTCCAAATGAGCCTCTACCTATAACTTTTAATAGTTCAAAATCAGAAAGAGTAAGTTTAGTTTTAAGATTTCCGTTTTCACCTTCAATAGGTATTTATGTTGTTTCCCCAATCTTTTCATCAACTTCATCTTCATCTAGAATTTCACTTGCAATATCTGGTATTTTTGAGTTATATTCTGCTTATTTGTTTTAGCACATACCCATTTTATTAAATATATTTTATATTTTATACTAAACTTATTCTTGAATTAACTCTTCATTAATAAATAAATTATGAAGATGATGTAATAAGCTTACATTATATATAATTAAATATTTATTGTTAATTATTAAACTATTATGATTAGAAACAAAATGTATATTAAATAATTATATTTCATTCATCAACTATAAAATTATTATTATTTTTATACAATCTAATGTTTTAGGATCCAGAAGAGAAAGATATGATTGGTGATCTTCTTAATGGTATTACAAAATATTAAAGCTATTTTAGATAGTTTTGAAGCAGACAAAACAAAAAAATCATATTCTAACAATAGACCCCCTGCATTAGAAATAAAATAATAATAAAAGGCTTCACCTATTTATCAACCCAAGGTTTATTCACCTTAAGTTTAACATAAGGCTAAGTTGTTAATTTCTTTATTAAAGTTCTTACGATTTAGATTTAAGACTTACTAAAATACCTGTTTAACAAAGTGCTCCTAATTCAGCCTTAAAAGCTAAATCATATGATTGCATGACTTAATTTATTCCAGAAGAAGAAACAAGTCTAGATGGAGATTTAGTAATCAAAAATTCATAATAAATAAGATATCTAAATGTAAAGATTAAAATGGTGCCAGAAGCATTTAAAAATAATTCTAAGAAGGACCTGTTGCAATCAAAGATTTGATATTCAGTAGACTAGAAAAAGGATTCGTATCACTGTCAAAAGATGTATTTGGTAATTATGTCATTTAAAACCTACTTGAAAATGGTATGAATTTTAGATTAAGTTAGGAACTCCCTTACAATAATAAAAAATGCTTGTAATTTTATAACCTCATACTTAATAACTTGCATTTCATCAATATGGATGTAGAGTCTTATAAAAGTTATTATAAAATGCATATAAAACTCCAGAATTTCAAGTGTTATTTGATTCAATAAAAGGGAAAGTAAAAGAATTAGTTATAGATCAACATGGTAATCATGTAGTTCAAAAACTTATCTAACTTATGGAAAGTGATGTAAGCCTTTGGGTTTTAGATGGAATAGAAGGTTAAATAAGCAAATTGGTTACAAATTCTTTTGGATGCAGAATTATATAAAAAGCTGTATCAATCTCTAACAATCATGTTGAAAGATAAATGAGAGTTCTATAAGAAATCATGAAGATATCTCAAGAATTATGTACTTCTTAATATGGAAATTATATAATTCAGTAATTGTTGAAAGATGGTCCAGAAGTTATTTAAATTGAAATCTAATAAATAATAATGGATAAAATAGAAGAGTATAGCTTAAATAAATTTGGGAGGTATTTTCATTTTATAAAATAAGTAATGTTGTTGATTGTGCAATTAAATGTTCAGATAATAAATTTAAATTAAAAATTATGGAATTACTATTGAGCCAAAAGAATCATCCAGTTTTATTTGTTAGATTATCAAAAAATGCATATGGAAATTATGTAGTCTAAAATTTTTTAAAATTTGCAGATAGTGAAATATAAAAGGAGTTATATCTAAAACTTACAAATAATTAATAATTATTGCAAGAAATTTAATAATCCCAATTTGGTAATTTATTTTAATTGATTTTAGGTTAATATGTGTATTAAATGTTAACATAAAAATTAGAACTTGAAGCTTTTAAATTATGATTCCTCTGTATGATTTGTTAATATATTGTAATTAAAAAAATACTTATATTTACTTATCGCATATTAATTTAATCTATACGATCCTTGATCTTTCTAAATTTATACTAAATAAATCTTAGATGTCTAGAGAGTAGTTTTATTTTGTAGTAGATAATTTATAACAAAAAAGTATGATAAATATCATCAAGACTTCCTTCATTAAATTTGAACCTTTAAGGAAAAAATATATTATACTTTATTTAATTTAAAAAATGAAATGATAAGTTAATCTTATAACTTTTTTGAATAAAAATAATTTAGATAGTAGATATATATAATTTTTACTTTGGTTGTTTTATACTTATGATAATAAATAAATTAATCAAGGGTTGTAACTAACATTCCATACTTTGATTAGTATTGTATTCTTTAAGCATATTAATTAGATAATAAAATTATTGGGATGTGATAAGGAAAATAATTCCAAAATTATAAATTATTGCCAAAAATTAATATAAAAAATCTCAAATTTTATTAGAAATAAAAATAGCAATGTAATAAATACTTCTCTATATTAGAAAAAGTTAATATTATTATAATTGTTCCAAATGTAAATGAATAAAAATTAAGATTAATTCTAATCATCATTTCTTATAAAATTTGACAAAACTTGTAATAACTTTTGGATATAGTTAAACTTTATAGGATGAATTTAAAAAATAAGTAAATCAATTTAAAAAATTACTTAAAGGAATTTCAAAGACATATATTTGTAATCAGCTACATGAATTCACATAAGAATAATAAAAGTTGCTTATAACATATATAAGTTAAATTAAATTATATTTATATGATTAAATGTGAATTAATTATAAATTCAATTTTAAGAATTTCTATTTTAAAGTTTATTTTTAATTCTAAACTCCTTTTTTCCTACACTATTTATGGTTTTTTTTTTCCTCATCTGGAATGGAATAATAAGATAGAGGAGAATGTTGGTTAATTATCTTACTTTCAGATTTTTCATAATCAATAAACATCTTACCAGTTTGTTTATTTTATTCAGCCCTTTCTTATTAATACTTGCGATTATTTTGTGAAGTCTAACTTTACTAGTTTTATATAATATACAAAATAATCTAAATCTATATAAATATACATTAAATTTTAGCTTTAAACACTAAGCCATATAATAGAAAATTTAATACTAATATATGCTATTATTTTTTAATTTAAAAGTAACTTGGTAATAATAGAAAAATTCTACATCAAAATAGTTTTTCTTTAATTAACTTATCATCATAAATTAAGAAAATAATTAGAAAAATATTTTTAAAAAAATTTTTAAATGTTTTTATTTTTATATTACATTAAATTAAACCCTTTTAGGGGGATAAAAATCACAATCATTCATTTATTTTTACATTCTAAAATCTCATATTATTATTCATAAAAACAATGTTTTCTATAAGTCTCTCTATTTTTTGTTTAGTTTTAATCTTTACATCCCTAACTAAATATTTTTCAATAAAATTCTACTTTTTTTAGTTAAAATTGCTTCTCAATTATATATTTTATGCTAATCCTCAAATTGGTTTACTTACATTTAGACCCACTAAATTTGAATAATTATTTTATATTGTTGAAGCATTATTTAAAACTTATCGATTTTCCATCCTAGACTATTTTTATATTTATTTATCAAAAATTTATCCTCTCACATAAATTTTATAAGTTAGTGTATTCATAGTTTTATTCTTTAAATCATTCAATTATTTAAAATTTATTAGGTTTATTCAGCTAGCCAGTTATTTTCTTGAAACTACTTTTACTAATTAATTAAACTTTCTTTTAATATGAAATTCTTTTTTCATAACTTAAAGCTGCTGGAAATCCAAATATATTTCCTTAATTAATTTGATTTTGTAATTTAATAATTGCTGGTTTTTCTATATTTATTTTCAAATTATATTTAGGGGTTATAATTAATAATAAATATCCATCTTCTTCTGAGGGTCTAGCCTCGACCGGGTCTCTTGAGAGGTGTCCTTGTTACGAGTCCTCAAATCTTACCCTCTTAATTTTATTCTGATATCTTTGATTGTCATGGTCAGCACTTGTCCCCAACCGATGTAGAACGCTATCATCATGTTGTGGGATTGAAGGAGGCGACTCCTTGTATGACCCTAATTATGACATCATCAGAAATAAAAGTTAATTAAATTTTAATTAATAATATTTAATAGTTTTACTGTTAGAATTGATAAAAATGATATCTGTGTTTTTATCCTTACAATAGAAATTCAAGATTTTAATGAGAAATAAAATATTTAGTTAGGTCCCTCCATTTTTCATGAATTCATTTTATCTATTAGAAAATTTTCTCTGCTAAGATTTGATATATTTTTTTTAAATTTTAGTTCGATCAACTTATTTAATGCTCAACTAAAGTAATAGGTCTAAAATAAGTATTTCTAGGTATTTCAGGATAAGCTTATTTAAGAGAATTAACCTATCTTATCATAACTTGATATTGATATCTAAGATGTCCTGGCATGTAGGGTCTACAGTAAATACTATTTTTTAGATTTATTAATTGCTGTGTCAGAAAATTCATCTACATATTGCTTTATTATTAGATATAAATTTTTATTTTACCATTCTCTATATTAAGTCTTATTACAAAAATAAACATTAAATATTATGGGATTAATTAATTCATCTAGAATTCAAGACTGAAAATTTGCAATCTTTTTTATTAAACATTAAAATTGTTCTAATACACGTATACAAAAAGGTTTATGTACTCCAATAAACAGTCCTCCCTATCTAACAGTTTATGCTATTTTTGAAAGTAAATAAAATTAGGACTATTTTTTATTTTCTTCTTCTAGTTTCTTAGAAACATATATTATAGCATTTTTCTTTCTTAACTTAATAATATGCTTCATATTTTATTGCATTAACATTCCAATTAAAAAAGAAGGGTACTTTTATAATAAAAAAAGATTTTTGAAAATAAAATAATTCACTTTTCTTAATCTTCATTTAGTAAATTCAAAAGATTCAAAATATCAAATGCTAATCCCTTTTTTTATTAGAAATTTACTAAATACATATTCTATCCTTCTTATCCTAAATCAGTATCATCGGAATCCCCTATAAAATTTTAATATGTAATACCTGTGCTAGTATTAATAGCAGGATCTGTAAAATAAGTGCCTACTCCTTAGACATCATTTATCATGTATTATCCTCTACTAATAAAGAATGTATAATATGAGAATGCTTGAGCAAAATTATTTATTTCTGTAATCTCCTCATTAATGTAACCATAATTATTGTTATACTTTACAAAGTCACCCTTGAAAATTCTTTCTGCTATCCAAAATTTGTCTAAATTAAAAAATATCTCAATACCTTTTGTTTCTTCTAAAATTAATAAGTCACTATAAACTACATTAGGATATAAATTTTTCTTGAAATTCTATTACTCTAATGCATCTGAAATATCATTTTTAAATTTTTTCATCAATTATTAGCATATCAAGTGAGATCTGCAATCTTGAATAGCCTCAAGTTATGATTTATATGGCTTGCTACCAAGTGGGGTTTTTATTACATATAATTCTTCTGGTTCTCCATTCTTTTTTTTCATTAAAAAAACGTCTTTCTTCAATCCAAATGCAAATGGTAATTCAGTTCTGATACAATTCCATTTTCCTTCTTCTTTGATTAAATAATCATTATAAGGGTTGCTTCCAATATTATTTAGAGATTAGATATTATTATTAAATACCTAATCATTTATTTTAAAATTTTAAACTTTAAACAAAGTATCAAATACTTTTGTTTATTTTTCAAAATTGTAAAAATCTGCTTATTTACATAATGCCTCAATAGCACCATCTTTATTGTTTGGTCTTTCTTATTAGTATTTTTTTGATTAAGTTCCTGATGATTTTACTTAAGTAATATTTATCGAAGCACTTACTATAGATATTGCCATTTGGTCTGCCAACTAATTAACTTTAAAATCTGCAACATCAATATATAAAAAAAATTCTGAAGCATTCTTAGCTTCATATATTTTTTTAAATTCCTCATACATTTTAACAGTCTTATTGTTTAAATTAAAACCTATTAAGATGATTTTTTGTTCTATCAAACAATGAAGAGTTTGTGTTATGTCGTCATTAGGGTGAAAATCTATAGGATATGTATGATATTTTTTGCCATGACAAGGAGAATCAGTTATCAATATTGCTATCTTAAATTTACTCTTCCATTCTAGATTTGTCATCATTTATTCTAATGCTCCTCTAACATCTTCTGGAGGATCTCGCCCTCCTTCAAATTTAACTTCTTTAATAAACTTTTCAAAATTTTAGATATTGTTGGAGAAATCAAATTGATGATATAATCCAGTTGTAGGTTTCTATTCTTTATCATAATATGCAATCGAAGAAAGAATTGTATCTCTATTAGTCTAAAATTTGATAGCCTTTAAGGATTTTTAAGCTAAACATATTACTTGCTCAACATATGGTTACATAGATCTAAATCATCATTTATTAAATTTATACAATGTAAAATCAACAACGTAACAAATATCTAACTTTCCACATTCATCTAAAGAAACTTATGTTTTCTTCATCATTATTTCTTTGATCATCTTTTTCTCTATCCTTTATTACTCTTTTATCGCCTTTTATCTTTTGATTTCCTAATATTCTTATTCTTTCTATTTTTAAACTTTTTGAATTTCTTATTCATTTTTTTGCAAATTTTATTATATTTCATTTTTTAATTATCTAAACTCTTACTCTAATTTTGATGTATTTTGATCCTTATCTTAGATTTTCTTTTCCCATTTAGTTTGAGCTTCTTTATATTAGTATTCATATTATTATTTCTTTGTTTAAAGTACTTTTTGAATATTACTTTTCATTAAAAAAGTCACTTCTTTATTGATTTACTTTTGAAAATCATCATTTTTTAAATTAAGTAAAGTATTAGAATTGAATTTTTGTAAATCCGATGATAATTGCTTAGGCTATATCTACATGAAATTTAAGTTCTCATTCAGAATTTGATCAAGTTATGCATCAATTCTATTGAATGAGGACTATTTATATTGATTAAATATTGTTTTTTTACATCTAATGCTAATTCAAAATTTTTTATAATTGCATTTGCTTTCTTTTTGTATTCTTTTCTTAAAGCTTTTTCTGAAAAAGTTTTCATTTGAATATCAAAAGAATTTTTATTTCTATTAATACTTAGTATATAATTAAAAAATGTGCACATTAAAAATTTTATTACAAAATGATATAAATAAGGATCTATTGTTTAACAATTTGATTTATGATTTAACTAGAATAAAGAATTAACTGACATTTGAAATCTCTTTTTGAATAGAAGATTTACAGTTTCAAAAACTTTACTATTACTAATATGGCTACAAAAAGGAGCTTACTATTCATTTAAAAAAAAAGTATTTGTTATCGGTACAATCTGATATGAAGAGAATTCGTTTTAATGTGCTTGATTATAATTTTGAAGGTTTACTTCTCAATAAATTTATTAAGCATATATGAAATTCAGAAATACTTAAATAAGATAGCAAATTACATCAAAGTTTTAATTGAACTATCAATTCTGTTAATTGTAATAATAATGATGAAAAAAAATGAGAAAAATTTATACTTGATGATTATCATATAAGTTAAGGATGAAAATATAGAATAGTATATGAATTAACATTATAAAGTATTATGGACTTTAAAAGATATAGAATTGATGATAGCAGTAAAAATTAAAATACATTACAAACCAATAATACCATTTTTCTTCCAAAAGATAAAGCAAATATGATAGAGATTAGTTATAATAAAATTAAAATTAAATTACAAATAAAAAATAAATTATTATTTAAAGCCACAAATAGTTTAATCAGTTTAAATTGATATCAGGATTTTTGGAATTAGTCTGAGGAATAGAATTCTCAAGCTTCTTTAACTAGCAATAGAACATAGAGCACAATTCTACTAAACAATATTATCATTATGAAACTATAATATCGATTTAGATCTCCCAAAAGGTTCTATCTTGATTTCACCTGGATTTTAAAGTTGATCAGGCTAAACAAAGGATTTGATTTACTAATACAAGTACAAAAAGTATTGTTCCTAAAAGCGATTGTATAAAACATTGAAAATAACAATCAATAGAAACAAATGATATAGAATTTTTAGAATATGAGATTTTTAAATAAAGAATATAGAAACTATTTTATAAGGAGATATGAATAAATAGTAAGAAGAATACATTATAATTTTTCATCTTATCATCTAAGGTAGTAATACAGTATTGATTGGTTAAGCTTATTCTTTTCTTGGGAAAGCATTCCAAAATCTCAAAGTCTCATCTCCAGCTCCAGTCACTATAGTTTCTCCATCTGGTGACATTGCCAAAAATAGGACTCTAGAAGTATGACCCATTAAAGTGGTAACCTAGAATTTGAATATCAAATACTTTTTATAAGGCAGGATATTTCCAACAAACTATTTAATTCATACTATATCCATGAGTTGATACAAATTCATTTACATTTTTACTAAACATTAAATTACAAACTTATGAACCAGTATCAATCCAATCTAATTATTGAGTAGTTAGAGTATTGAAAAATCTAATAGTTCTATCTGCAGTTCCTCCACCTGATGATAATAAACCATGTCTATGTGGAGACCAAGCAATAGCTTTTACAGCTGCCTAATGTTAATTAAATTTAGCTAATGGAATTTATGAGCCCATTCTCCAAACAAATAATTTATTATCATTTCCTCCTGAAGCTAATTAATATTCATCTGGTGACCATTTTAATCCACAAACTTCTTATTTATGACCTTCGAATTTTCCAGTTTGTCTTTTTTATCTTGGATCATGTAAAATTATAGATCTATCTTTAGAACCTGAACATAGAGTCTAATTTATAAATAATAAATTTACATTTCCACTCCAAGCCAAAGATCCCACTCTTGCAGAATGTCCTTCCAATATTTATATTCTTTTCATTTTCTCTTAATCATATATATGAACTTCTCCTGAACCAGTTCCTATAGCCAATTGATTTCCTTATGGATTCCATATCAATGAACAAACCATATCATTATTACCAAAATCACAAAACTTAGTTACTCTATTATTATATGCTGACCATAAATAAACACATGAGGATAGAGCAACTGATAACACATTTTAAGAACTCCAATCTATAAGATTTAAATAGAAATCATCTTATAATTAAGGAGCATCCAATACTTTAAATGGTACTTTACTTATCTTTCTTTAACTGAATTAATAATCTTAACTATTTTAGTATTGTTCTCTATAATCCATTAAGTTTTAGTAAGTTTCCAAAATAGCTGGATTTATGTCTGACAATATTTTTCGTTTTGAAGGAGTATTGTCAGCAAAACACAATAAATTTTTTGATTCCCATTAAAGCTATTCACTTTATAATGGTTATCCAAACACATGCATCTTATAGATATCTTTCAGTGTAACATTTCCCTAGTCTTTGTAATCACTACCTTTTTATGGTTCTTAATTCTCTTCTTCAATCTCTCGATATTGAAATTCTTCATTCAAACTCTACTTCTATCCACTTCTCAAAGGAATATATCTACAGGTTTTTCCTTATTATATTTATTTCTTAGGAGTACTATCTTATTCCTATTCAATTTAGTCTATTGATTAAATAATAATACTACCTCCTTATTAAGTACTTTGAATATCCACCTTATTTAGTAATCTAACAAGATCATTCATATCACAAGTTTTAGATTTTGATAGATATGAATTTTCTTTATTTTATTTAGATGGTGAAATTTGTAATTTATCTTCAAAACATGATACTTCAATATCAATATTACGCTATTAAAGCATTTTTACAGTATTCGTTGACATTTTTTTAAAATGGTATTAGCAAACAGATAATTAATTTAATTTACGTTAAATTTTATTTTTAATCACACTTAAAAAAGCGAAATAAATATTATTTATAAGTTTCTTGTTTAATCAACCCTTAATATCTAGTAATTAATTAATTATCACTATAAAATTGCACTAAAAAAATTACCTTATTTTTTATTATTTATTTATCGTTGAATTTTATGTGTCATCTATATAGTTATATGTTCATTCTCATTATTCTTTTATTTAGGTGTGAATTATACTTACATAACCCTATGTAGACAATAATGAAGTTGGAATTTGAGAATTAGTAATTAAGATATTTAATAATAATCTCTTTATTTATTAGATACTGTAATGCACATATTATTATTATATATCCACTATTCTCTACAAAAATATATCATTATATAAAGGAGAGCATAAAGATATTAGTAAAATAATTTTGTCAAAGAAATTATTAATTCTAATTGATTATTAAGTTTTAAGAATTTACAAGATCTTTTTATTAAGAATTCTAAAATAATTCTTATTTTTTAATCTCATGAATTAATTTTTTTCTTTTAAAATAATTAACACATATAAAATAAATCAGGATAAGTTATTTTTATACATTAAATTTTTAATATATCTTTCCATTCCTTCATCCAATAATAACATCTTTATAGGAATAAATGAAATAAACTTTTTACTAATTTCAAACATCCTAGCCAATCTATTAAAAATGATAACTTTCGAAAATAATATCAACACTCCCAAAAGAGATAGCAAACTAATACCTGCTATCTATTTATATTTTTATTATAATATTTTACATTCATTAATTTCATTAGCTATTATGTTTATATATGCATATCATGCCTCATATTTGAATACAAATTGCTTACAATACCAGAAATTATATATGGGCCTTCTAAATCATAAATTTAGACAGAAGTTCTTATCTAAAATTAATTATAATTCAATTCAGATTTTAAACTATTAGTTATAATAGTCAAAGTTGATAATAAACCATTTTTCATATTACCATTGAATAATAATTGACAAAATGAACTAGTTTATTATTATAATTCATCTGATAACAAACTACACAAATCTCCTGTTGCTAATGAATCATAGTACTCTTAAAATTCATCTGACAATATAACTCTTGAAATATATAAATTATATACTTGTCATAAATGAATTATTTTTCTAAAAATTGTTTGGTTCTATTCAATCCCTAATCAATTACCTATAACAATTATGAAATAGTATCATTATTCAAATATGGAAATGAAGTTCTGAAATACAATACCTCCCTTGCTGAATACATTGAAGAGATATCTATACTTAAATCTGATAATGCCTTATAAAAGCTAGCTACCTCTTTATATCCTTATAAATATTCTCTATTAAAATAAAATGAAATTCCAGACTTCAAAAGAATTATAATATATAACACTAAATAGCCAAACTTCCAACGTAAACCTTTAAATTTTAATCTATTTTAAACTTTGACTCTTTGATAGCTTTATTTCTATTTTGTTTTATCAAAACTTTATTCATTATATTTATATCTTACAATATATTCATAATCATCATTTATCTATGAGATTAATTATTTATATTATAAAATTTGTATTTCTCTCATCCCTTAAGGCAATTATAATATGATATTATAATATCTACTAATCTAATTGGCTATCCCAATAAAGTAATAATAACTTAAAAGATAAGGAAATGTAAGAGCCACAATACTAACAATAAGTAGAACTATTATTATTTAGATATCATCTTCTACAACAAACATTGTATCTTCCAATATAATCTTATGTAAATCTGTAACTATTTATTTTAAAGGCATATAATTTTTAAATGTAAAGTAAATATGTGCAGTATCAGCATTTACTTTTCCATTCATTTTGAAATCTATCAATACATCATATTAAAACTTTAATAAGGTTCCAAATGCATTTCTTAAAGTCATACTATAACTTTCTTCCTTTGAACTATTAGTGTATTGATAAATTTCAAGTTGATTATCATCTAATATATGTTGTAGCAATGGTTATTAAAATAGTAAATTAAAATTTTAATATATTTAATTGTAACCAATCTAGATTTAAGATGATGGAAATTGTACAAACTAAATTAATTGTTAATATGTAATTATTTTCATAAGAAAATATAAATTATATTCACTTAAAGAAAATATTACTAATAAAGTGTTTTCTATGGGTTAAAAACAAAGTTAAGAAAAGTCTAAAACTTCTAAATCATTCATAAGTTGACTAATATCTGAATTAACTTTAATAGTTTGTAACAAAAAAAATGCAAATGTTACAAACAAACTTAATAAAAAAGCTATTATAAATTTATTTAAAATAGAGAGTTGTTAATCATAATATTCTGATAGAAAATCTTTGGATCTTGAATTATAAGAGTTTTCTGTAATTTTTATGAAAAATTATTCATCTTAATCAATATTTAAGGATTATTGTTTTCGCAATCTTGAAGCAAATGTTTACTTTCTTATAAGTCTTAAATTTTATTATTTCTTATTATCAGGACTATAGATATTTGTATTATCATCCATCTATTAAAACTCATTTAAATAATTTAAGTATTATTAATTTAAATCATTTTCCTCATAAGGAACATCAATTTATTCTTCTTATGCAATATTACCTTATAATAAAAAGTCAAAATCTGATCTAGTTTTATATTCTTAAATGGGTTCAAGAATACTTTATTAGTATGTAAATTATGAAAAGCTTTTCTATTTAGAATTAGATTTTCTAATATATTAAAAAGTTAAAATATAATAAACAGGTTGATTGTTTATTAACTTTATCTATTAATTAATAGTGGTTACATAAGGAAATTCTTAATCTTAGTCTGTTAAAATTAATTCTAAATTTTCTTGATAACTTTCAGTTTCTGAATATTAAGGTACAAATTTCTTGATATTATAGCCAATACGTTTAAAATCAAATTGAGAGATATTTAAAGTATTAGATAAAGATTCACTTAAACAAGTTATTTACAATTAAGAATTCAATATCATAGCCATTGGTTATTCTATTGAAACTTATATAAAGGTTATAAATTTTAATTCATCTGTTATTATTGCATTAAATCCAAAATCTATCGATGTCATATATATATCATTATCTTTTGCAATAAAACTTGCTTCAAATCGTTTAACATATTTAGAGATTCCAGTCTCTATAAATTATTCAATAATTGAATTGTGATGTTCTCTAACTCCTGGAGGAATGTAACCTTCAATTCCTAAAGATGAATCTTTAAAGAAAATATTATTGTTAGAAATGCCTGATATTTTAATTCCTTAATCATATTTTGAAATTAGATATGCTAATTTATTAAGATCATAAGTATCATACTGAATAGGATTAGTCTAATGAGATAGAAATCTTGCTTAATGAAAGTTATTCATTATCTCTGCATAAAAGAATAATAAAATAGCCTTATTTTTTAATGTTGAATGATCTTAATATAATGAATTTAGAATTTTTTCAATATTTGCTAGTTTATCTAAATAATCATAATAAATATCAAAGTTTTCTTCTTATACATTCTATAATAGTTGCAATTTTTATAACATTAGATTTTTTAATTCTTTTATATAATAATATGACGTTTCTTCAATTTAAATGACTTTATTAATTGAATCTACAAAAGACTGTTGAGTTGATTAATTGGCAAATATAATAGTTTTTATTAAATTTAAACATTTTAATTTCATTCTTTCTTTTTTAATCTCATAGTAAATGTTAAGATTTTTCATCTCTTAAAGTTAACATAATGCTTTTTAATATTACTTATTATTTATCAATATTGATATTTAAATAATAACATTATCTATTCTTTTATTATTTTTACAATTTTAGAATTCTATTTTTTTTTTTCTTTATTCTCTATATTGTGTAATCCTTAATAAAACAGGAAAAATAACTAACAAAGAAGAGAAGTTACTTGCAATACCTAAGATTATTGTAAAAGTATGTATAATTGTGTATAATTGAATAGAGGCAATAATAAAGTTATTAGCAAAGACTAATTATAGTGAGGATTGTAATAATCCAATCAAATTTAATGTTATTATATTCTAATTATAATACCATAACAATGATTAAATGATTTATATAATCCATATAAGATAGGCTGGATATAATATTTTAGTTTAATGGAAGTTCTTATTATCCACATCTAATGTTTCCAATAAGAATAATTGATTGAGCCCTGATATCATAATCAGACTTGGTTACAATATAAAGCAAATTGGAGATGATGATATTTCCATTCCAAAATTTAATAAATTAGTTACCATCAATCCACCATATAATGAAATTAGCCTTTTACCAGGTATATTAAAAAAAATGCCTATTACATACAAAATATTTGCACTAAGAAAAATATAGCCGATAATAGTAGAGTTTATATATAATTATGGTCTAGCAAATAAAGATACTATATATATGTATTTATGTTGTTCTAAAGGTTGTAAATATGATAAATTTAGCAAAGCTCCAAGAATTTAAATAAATAATACCATTTTATCTGATAATTTAATAGATAGGTCATCTAACTCAATTAATTTTTGATACATTTACTTTGTTAGTAGAGAAAGTCCTTTGTTCATATAATCTAAATATATAGATAATTAAATAATAATCATTTTAGATAAAATATAATAACAAGAATATTTCTTAACATATTTAAGTTATTAAACATTATAAATTAATCAAATATCATTTTACTATTATTATAAATTCCTATGAATTCTTCCAAATTGAAATTATATCATTTACTTTTCACTCTATTTTTTATATATAAATTTTTTAATTTATCTTTACCTATTTGTCAAAGTGTTTCAACTTTTTTATTACTACTTCACCATTTTCTTTAATAGTTTCTATTGTTATTTTCAGTTCTTATGATGATATTAGAACTTTTGGTATTAAAATAAGAAATATATTTATAATACTAAATGAATTATTTAAATATTAAGGAATATTGCAATATTTTATTTAGATTATTCAATTTTCATTTTAATCATTTTAATAAACAAAATATTATAAAAATAAAATGATGAATGAAGGAATATATAGACACTTTACTCAATATTTTTAAGCTGTTGAAATTGAGTCAAAATGTTTCTTTTAGAATTATTGTTTTAGCATTTCTTTCAAAACCATCATCAAACAATAAAATCTATAATGGTACTAGATAAAGAATCCTTTACATTATGAATTACCTTTATATTAATCTTTTTCTAATTATTATTGATGTGAACATCACAAATAAGAATATGACAATTATAACAATTATGCTATGCATCTATAATTATATTATATAAATACAGTTATTTGATCTACTAATTTCTGGGTTTGTGCATATAAATCTAATTAAATTTCTATGTTTAGTTTACGAACAATTTCAGAAACCAAGAAAGCTCCTTCTAATTCTAAGTAACTTAATTGTAATCGTTCTGTGAATTAATTTATATCCTTTTCAGTTTGTATGTAATTAACTATATATACTAAAATACCAAGCAACCCTCTTTACATTCCTTAACTCATCACAATAGGACAAATAGTTGATGCCTTTTATTTCATATCATCTAATAATTAATCACATAGATTATTATCCATTAGATAATTATAATAATCTGCAAAATCATCAGATAAAAAGTATCTAATTTAATATTGATATATATATGTACTATTCAAAATCAATCTTAGTAATTGTAAATGCTTGTAATTCATCTAATGCTTAATTTATTTCTCTAAAAATTAATTGAATATCAGTCTCATTATAATAAGGAAAAAATGTTCTTCCATATAGAATATTACTTTAAGCAAAGACACAAGGAACATCTGTTCCAATATCTGAAACTCCTTTATAAAATTTAGCTGTTGCAGGATATTTGTCCAAATAGTTTTTAACTTAACCATAAGAAACACTAGCTTAAGTCAAGACAGCTATAAAAATAATACATAAAAAGATTCTATTTGAATAATTTGTTACACTTAAAAAAGAATTGTTTTCTAAAATAAATTTTTTATGATCCTTTTTTTCAAGTTTAATTTTAATATCATCAAAATATTATTCTTTACGAGACATATCAAATTAATAAGAAAATAAATTATTGTAATCACTATTAATAATTGATTAGACAGATATTAATCTCTATATATCTTTATTAAAATATTCAGGTCTACAACAAAATAATAAATTAATAAAATTAGTATGAATTAATTCTATTCTTGAATGAAAAAAATAACTGCACATTAAAAATATTATTAGGAAAGTTAATGACAATATATAAATTATTTATAATTTAGATAATATTGTTATAGATCTATTTATTGTATCTTCTAATATATCTTAGTTAATACGTCCAAATTCTGTTTTAAGAATATAATAATTTCTATATTAATAATAAATATGAGGAGAATCAACAATAACATTTCCATCTAATTAATAAGCCATCTTTGTTATATATTAATAATTTAACATTATTGTAATACAATTTCTTAAGGAAACATTAAAATGCTCTCCTTAATTTGATGATGTATATAATTGTATATCTAAATATGTACTTTCCAAGAATTATTATAATTGTAATTTGTTTAAGACTGAATTTACATTTTCTTCTAAACGATCAAAACCTAAATGTAAATTTGATCTAGGAAATATAATTAATTAATCAAATGTTTCTTATGTTATTTTTCCAGATGCTTTTAAATTATTATAATTGAAAATAGTCCATCTAGTTACTAAAAAGGATTCAAAAGGTTAAAAAGCAAAGTTTTTGATTTAAAGCAAATCGATATCAAAAATTAAGTTGGTCAAACTAGTATTTGTTGAACTAAATTGCTATGATAATAAATAAAATTACAGCTATGACAAATGATAATTGAATTAATAAGCATATTGATAAAAATGATAAAAATATTTTATGACTCTTAGTTAATCCTTTAATTTCTTCAAGTTTAGACATTATTTCATACTTTTTAAAATAACTAGATTGTCTTAATCCTTTTAAAGATGATACTTTTGAAGATTCTATTTATTTACTTTCTGCAATACTAAAATCTTTTTATGGATTTTATTATATATTTTAATCATCATCTGATACAGAAACAGAATAATTAATTTTATTTTAAGTTTTATAAAAAAGAGGTCTTGAAGTCAATATAAGATCTTTTATTTATGTTTAATGAATAGTTGAATCTATTATTAAAAGTTCATTGTTTTAAGATTTAGAAAAAGCATTTTAATTAGAAGTAATAAATACTTATTATTCATTAATAGAACCATTAGGATCATCAATAAACACATTTTCAGATACTGAGAATGCTCCTTAAATCTAACTATTATTTGTTTCTGTATAAGTAAATTTAGCAGAATTTTCATATTTCTTAAAATATTCAAATTTAATTGTATAAAATAAAATCTCTCCATTTAATATTTTTGGTATTACATCTAAAGTTGTTAAATAAGTATTTATAGAATTAGATGTTGCTTCATCTTTATCAACATTTACAACAAAATCTATATTCTCATAAAATCCTGATAATTCATGTTTTTTAAAAACAGGAATAAATTTAGTAATTATTTAATTCTTAAAATAAGCCATAGTATTAATATTCAAAGCTGTTAATACACTTTCTGTTGTAGAAGTAACCATTTTATCTGAATTTAAGACCATAACTAAAGGTTGTTCATATATTGGTTATAGAAAAGTAATAAAATTGATCTCCTCACTTGTAAAACTTACATCAATTGCAAAATCAATTTAATGTAAAGTACCTTTTGTATTATTATAATAGTAATTAATATCTAATCTTCTCATATATTTTGATTCCCCATTAATTAAGAATTTTTTAACTAATCTTTAATGTTATTCTTTAATTCCTGGAGGAATAATTAAATTTATATTCTATTATAATAACTTATTATGACTCATTTTGAATAAAATGGGAGCATTATTGGATGCTCTTTTTATTAAAATTTCTGAATTGTAAGTTGAAATCAGATAAACCATTTTATTTGTAAATACAGAAAAATTTTATTTATCATCAATTTTAGTAAGTTATTATTAAAGTAAATTTGCCTTTGTAAATTCATTTAAAATTTCAGAATATAGAAAACATAACACATTCTGAGTTTTTTAATTTGGAAATATAGAATACTATTTTTCCAATTAATTTTAAACTATAGTAATTTATTCAATATATTATAATAGACTTTATAGAGATATCTTTTCTTATTGAGATATTATTTATTATATACGACACTTATTTCTAAGTAAATTAACCATCTAAGTTTACAGAGTTACATTGTAATCTTCCAATTTCATTAAATGTTCTACAGCTTCAGATAAACCTTTTTAAGCTTTATTTTAATTTTTTAATTTAGTATCTAATTGAGATAACCATTCTTTAATCATAAGTTCTTTTTTTATTTAAGATAACCAACTCAACTTTTTTATAGAATGCAAAATCATCAATCCTTCATAATACTTTTCTTAATGTGCCAATAATGAAGCATATAAAACTATATCTTCTTTATGAGTTGGTAATTGGATCTTTATTGTCTTTAATATCTTTAAATCATAAAAATTAGTAATCAAATCTTCTAAACTTTTTGGTATTTATTTTATTAGTCTCTCTAAATTCATATAAACTATCTTCTGCATAAACAAAAATACTACAAAATCACTTATATAATTATGAAAACCTACCATCAGATAAACAAATCCTAGATAAATAGTCATAATTTAAATATTCAACATAAGAGTAATTAGAATCGAATTACCCTTTGGAAATTATAATAACAATTACAAAAAAGTTATTAAAGCATTAAAAATTGCCACCATTTATATGATTAACATATTGAATTCATATATAGATAAGTACATTAAAGTAATGTTTCCTATTACTACAAAATAATTCAATATAGATTTGGTGGGATTATATATGCTACTTGAATCAAAATTCAATGTACCTTAAGCAAATATCTATTCAAAAATATTTATGAAAATCAATAGCAATTGAACCAAATAATTCAAAGAACCTCTTGATATTTCAAAAAAGAAATTAAGTAAACCTAAATTAATTAGCTAACCAAAAATATTAATTGCTCTTGAAAATGGGCTTTAAACTTATGAAGATATTAAGTATAATAAACATAGAGCTAAAATTACATATTGTATATTGTCCAGTGATAAGGCAATTTAAGGTCTTGCAATGATGCAAAAAAAATATGTATATGAGTACTTCTAATTTTAAAATATATAAGAAAAGTTCCTGAATGATGCTATGATCTTTATTGTTTGGATCAAATAATTATTCATCTTCATTGAATGATAAACAAAGTCTAAGTAATTTTATAGGAATTTATTTCTAATTTATAGTAAATTATTGTTCTGCTTTGAGCCTTCCATTATTGATTGAAATATAAATTAATAATGAAAAAAACTTGAAAATCATAATGATTATGAAATTTAAACTAAATTCATATTAAATAATAATAAGGGTAATCCTCAGTTTCGATAATTATTGGAAATCACGTTTACTAAATCTTTCAGTTAACTTAATCCATCAACTTTTTTTTATTTGCATAAATTTCTAAATCATTGTTTTTAAAAAGGACGCAAAACGAATCATCTAATAAAATATATTGGGAATGACTGAATATGAATGAAAATCAGAATAACAATTTCTTTGAGTAATCTTATTAAATTAAGAATAAAGATGGAACTTCATGACAATATTTCTAAATTTAGGAGGATCAATTCAGATAATAAATTATTCTTAATAAAAATATTTTATTTTATATTTAATAATATATTATAAGTCTTTTTGTTAATTACTGATTTATTTTTACTTCTCTAATTGATTTTTATTTAATTAAGTTAATAGATCTATATACTTTGAATTATGTTTTATATAAACATTTAATAAAAGTATAAACTAAATTAAACAAAGCTTATAAGTTTTTTTCAACAAAATTTTCATTTATTTTTTTTTAATTTTGGTGTTATCAAATATATACAATAATTGAATTTATTCTTTTGTAATAGATAAAGAAATTGAATTAAAAAGTTACATAAAATCACAAAGCCATTTATTGAAATTTAAATAGAAATGTAATTTATTAATTCAACTCATGTATAAGGTATTTAATTAATTTTACTTATTCATTCATATGTAAATAAATGAAGTATGGGACAAGTGACATTATTATTACAGTTTTAATATATTTTTTTCTAATATTGTGATAATTAAATTATTATGCATTAGAGGATGAAAAGCGATATCAGATTTGATTAACTTAAACTTGATTACTTATAAGGATATAGTTCCAAAATACTAAAATCAGAATAAGATTCAACTTAACCTTCATAAACATAAATTTTTTAAGGAAACCTTCTTGAAAATAAAACAGACAGACAATTATCTCCTCTTATTAATAGCAATAGACAAAGACATAAGTTAAAGTAATGTCAATCTCTTGCTCTTGAAAATGATCCTGATCTTGAAGAGTTTTCTATTTGGGGAGATTTAGAAGAATTGCCAGTCGGAAATACTTAAAATAACAAATTAGTTTCTTTTTTGGAATTATATAAGTATCGATATGAAAAATCAACCAAGAAACCAGTTTCTTGTTACAACGTTATTTTGATGACTAAAAAGTAAAATTCATGTTTATAAAGATCAGACTGATAAATAGACATTCAATAACTAGGTTAAAATATTATGGAATCAACAAAATATAATGGATAGATTTTAGGGATTGGAGTAAATCAGGCAATCTTAATTCTTTGTGATATTTTAATTTGTTTTAGATTTTGCTCTTAAATTTGATAATTAATATAAATTTAATGGGTAACATGTGTGAATATCATGCAAGAAATGTATTAAACATTGATATTAAAAAAGATTAATAATGAATAAAATCTATAGCCAAAGTTGTTAGCATAACATAGATTCTAAGATATTGGAATTTACTTAGATGCAGGAGACATAAAAAATGAAGAAGTAGATGTTATTGTAGCTTAAACAGATTTAAATTTAAAGGTATTAATAATATATGTAATACCAGCTACCTTATTACTTGATAAATAATGTTTCACCTTAAACAAAATAACAGTTGCTAAAATACATTTAATAGATTAGAGATAAATAAGCAGTATCTCATGGTGATGTTGTACATTCTCATGCTGCAGAAGTATCATAATTGTATTATTATTATTAGCTGGAATTTGATTTTGTATTTTATTGCATTTTACCAAATGAAGATGATGAACCAATGAAATTGGCTAGAAATCATAATCCTAAAAATTTAAACTTGAAATTACCAAAAAATGCTCATTAAAAATATTAGAAATAATTTATTTATGATTGCATGATGACTTGTCTTAAAGTAGCAGAAGAGATGGAGATTACGTCAATATGTTTTCCTGTTATGAAATCAACTAAATTTACAATATCAACAATTGCAACAATGCAAATGATTGCTGTTAAGAATTTTTTAGAAGAAAATGTTACAAAAATAAAATTCTTGAGTTAAGTTAGATTTTGTATACAAGATGATAAAGATTAAGAATTATTCAAATGGGCATTTGATAAAGTATTTATGGATACAGATGATAACAGTGAGGCAAGTGATGAAGATTCACTAAATAATAATAGTGGTGGTAATAGTGGAAGTGGAAGTGCAGGTAATTCTTTGAGTAAAAATGTAATTATAAAGTATTAATTTAAGAATTTATATGAATTATAACCAACAATAAAAAAGCCATAATAAAAGAATTTTGAAGAAGATGAGTTTGTTAAGAGTTTTGGTGCTAATTATTATGATAAATTTGAAAGTCCTTAGAGTGTGGGTAGAAAAATATCTATTTGATAATATATTAATACTTTTATTTATAAATTATTGTTATATATGGAATTAAAAATTGATGAGAAGAGTGATGTCATTAGATAAGAGGAATTTAAAGATATTGATGTTTCAAATTGGTATGAATTAGTAGGTAAAAGCATATTCCATCTTATTTCTAAGCTATTTTACTATTGAGTGCAGGAGCAAATTTTTTATTGATTAAGATTTTTTAGAGAATCTAAAATTTATTTTTGTGGAAAAGAGAGGATTAAAAAAATAATCCATCTAAAATGTTAACTGTAAATTGTTTATTAGTTATCACAATTTTATGTAAGAATCAAAATTATCAAAGTTAAGCTCTTTTCATGTTATTATTCAATAGCAGGATTTTTTTTTAGTTAATTTTGGAAATGGAATTGTGAATCTTCACTAAAATAATAATTAACAATTTCGCCATCATTTTATATAATCATATAAATTTGTTAAGCATAAACATTGAACCTTACATTTTGTTTTTGTAGTAATTTATGGCTTAAACTATGGAGAATGAAATTAAGAATAGAACAGAATAAATCTCTTTTAGGAATAACTAAAATTTTATAAATATTTCTTTCCATATTAATAGTTTTAATTCCTATTCTTACTATTGTTTCATTGATTTTAGAAACATATGTTAATAACATAAGAGAATATTGTTTAGGTGCTTTAACTATTTTAAGTACTGTTTCTTTTGCATTTATTTGCATTATTCTATATTCGAAACTTAAAGATTAATATAGTGTTGGTGATCATTATAGAGCTGTAAATTTTAATATATATAAATTTTAGAATTTAAAATTTTTATCAATAGCAGTAATAATTTGTACATTACTTCGACCATCATTTAATTTTTTATTTTCTTAAGAATTCTTTTGGAAATTGAAACCTGGATTACAATGTCTTGTAAATAATGATAGTAATGCATTTATAACAAGATTACCTGATTAAGGTTTTACTTGGTATAATATATTAATATATAAATAGGGCAATCTTTTAATTAATCTATTCTTGTATAACTGATTTCATTCCTATTTATATATTATCTTTGTTATTTTCTCCAAATATAACAAAAAGAAAGACTTTGGTAAATGTAAGCGATGGATGGGATACTGGTTTAGAATGATTTATTTAACAAACTTTTTTTAAATAAAATGTAAATTTATAATAACCTAAAACAACAATTTTAAGAAACTAAAAGAGGATTCTCTTTATCACCTGAATAAGGATTATCATTAACATAAAATAAACCTCCATTGGTTGAATCAAGATCTATGTGGAATAAAAATGTCTATTTTGTACCTAAATGGGAGAAGAAAGATATTAAACATGTTGATAGTAATAATCATACTCCATTTCCTATTCGTAATTACATTAATTATGTGTAATAACATAGTGAAGGATTCTCTAATTAACTCAATCTTGATTTCCTCAAACATATAATTAGACATTTTACTGTTAATTAATGGTGGATAGACTAAACTAAAAAATTCAAGAGAACTATACCAATCAATATATTATAAATGTCATAAAAGAATTCAATAGAATAATTAAATTTGTAAATGTTAATACAAAAGTCATTTGATGATCTTAACTTTTATAATAAAATTCTATCCTCTACTAAATTACCTCCAATACCACTTCCTTAAAATTAATTACATGAATATAAATCTTCAATTACATATTAAGTTTTAGATTTAAATGCATCTGAGTAATTCAAAAATAAATCATTATTTCAATTATAAGACATCTTTATTAAAAGGATATTGTAATTATTATCAGAACGTGGATTATAGAGTCTCGGTTATTATGATTATCTTACATTTAAAAAGATAATGGAAGATTAAAAATAAGGAATTTGTGATGCATAAACATTCATGAAAGTTTTAGAAATAAAGCGACTATTTAACTAAATAGATCATATATCTCAACAAAATGAATACATCACAAATTAATGGAAATAAGAAGATTAAATGAAATAAGTAGAAAATCCTTAGAAATTTAGAAGATGGAATTAGGAAAAAACTTTGTTTTCTGATGAAATCTTAGATTTAGCAAATTATGTTGGATTAGATATCAATTTAAAAAAAGCTAGAAAAAATTATGAATTAAATAAAACAGAACACTAATTCAATGAACTCATAATTATTGGAGATTAAATATCAATTACTGCTTAAAAGATTATATTAGATACTTAATCTAAGTTGTCAAAATTTGAATATGAAGTTGTATAATCAATAGAATAAATAGATTAAATTTAAAGAGATCCTATAGATTAGAATATTAAATCAAATTCAATCTAATAAAAAGAATTAATACATTAATTATATGATAAAAATACTTAAAATTTTAATACGGAATCATCAAGAAATATAAATAATGTTTAAATTGTTGAAAGGTTTGATAAACAACAATAAAATCCATAAGAATATTAAATATAAAATAATATCCTAAAATAAACCAATCCTTAATAATTATCAATAGATAGAATATAAATATAAAATTAATAATTGCCTAAAAAATAAAAAATTAGCTATAATACTCCACCATAAAAAAGAACTCTTTTTATTTCAGAAAATAATATTAAATCTCATAATTCTTAAAAGAAATAATAATAATAATAATAATAATAATAATAATAATAATAATAATAATAATAATAATAATAATAATAATAATAATAATAATAATAATAATAATAATAATAATAATAATAATAATAATAATAATAATAATAATAATAATAATAATAATAATAATAATAATAATAATAATAATAATAATAATAATAATAATAATAATAATAATAATAATAATAATAATAATAATAATAATAATAATAATAATAATAATAATAATAATAATAATAATAATAATAATAATAATAATAATAATAATAATAATAATAATAATAATAATAATAATAATAATAATAATAATAATAATAATAATAATAATAATAATAATAATAATAATAATAATAATAATAATAATAATAATAATAATAATAATAATAATAATAATAATAATAATAATAATAATAATAATAATAATAATAATAATAATAATAATAATAATAATAATAATAATAATAATAATAATAATAATAATAATAATAATAATAATAATAATAATAATAATAATAATAATAATAATAATAATAATAATAATAATAATAATAATAATAATAATAATAATAATAATAATAATAATAATAATAATAATAATAATAATAATAATAATAATAATAATAATAATAATATCGTAAATTTCATTAAAGCAGTAATGAAAGAAAATAAAGTATTATCAAATTAGATGAACAACATAATATAAAATAGAATAGAAATCTTTAATCTCAATTATCATAACAATCACTAAGATCTTATGAAGATTTTATTAGACCTATTGAAGATTTATCCTCAACTAATTTGCCATCTAATTAATTACATAATTTTCATACTACAAGTGAAATTAATTAAAATCTAAGTACTCATTAAAATAGATAATCATAAATTATTACTAGTTACAACAGCATAAGTCTACATTAGAATAGAAAAAATGTTAACAAAAATAATGATCTTCGTTTAATGAAGGAATTTATAAAAAAGAATAAGAAGTATTAAACTGAACTTGAAGATAAAATATTTAATAGTAGTCAAAAATAAGAAGGAGAAGTATTTGATGAAACAAAATATAATTAAAATTTCAATTAAATTAATTAGTCTCAAGATTTAAGTGATGATTTGGATCTACTTCCTTCTCTTACTTAAAGAGATTAAAAAGCTTATAATCCATAAATTTAAGAATCAGAGATTCATAACTCAATAATGCCTGAATCTATATCAAATAATACCACTGCAAGAACATTAAGAAATACTAGTAATTATAATTCTGTTCATCCTAAAAAATAGAAATATGAACATTAAGAACAATTTACAAATGATAAACATGAATAATTGTAAACTATAAATGAAATTTAAAGAAAGATATCACCAAGTTTGATTAGATAATCTTCAATCAAAAATGATCCAAAATTTACTGAAAATTAATAACAATAAAAACAATTAAAAGATTTTCAAGGGGATAATAAAGTATTTAATTAATTACATTCTTAAATACCAGAAATAATTGTACATTAAGAACAAAAACATGATGAATAAATTAATAATAATTATTCTTAAAATTCTATTGATTTACCATCATAAAGAACAAAAAACACTTAAGGAATTAATGAAAAATCTAAAAGTTCTCTTAAATCCTCAATTAATTTTTCTGATAATAATAAATAAATTATAAAAGATCATTAAAAAGTTGAATTAATAAATAAATCTTAAGATAATTAATAAGAAAATAAAAGAAATAAAAATAAATTTGTTAAATAAGAAGCTTTAGATGAATCAATGGAGGATGAATCAGAATATGATTCAGAAGATAGTGAAGTTGAATAATTTAGTAATTTTCATATTAAGAAATAAAATAAAAAGAAAAAAGCAAAAGTTTAATCATTATCAACCTCTAAATTAGAAAGAATGGAAGATCATAAAAGATATTTACAATTTTTGAAAGAAGAACTCAAAGAAATGTTAGATAAAAAAGTAAATTTAAAAGAAATTAAAGAACATATTAATATAATTCTTAGTGAAATAGGAGGTTTATGTTTAGATTAAGAATTAGATTATTACATATAATTATGTATATATTGAATATATTTAGATAAATCAAGAGTTTAAGAATTGAATTAAGTAAATTAAGAATCTCATGAAATTCGATTTTAAAATTAATAACCAGTTTGTGAATTGAGATTAAAAAGGGAAATTAAAGGATTAAAATTTGCCAAAGAATGTGATAGAATAACAAAGTTGAAACCTACAGATATCGAAGAAATAATAGACACTTAAAGGTATTTATTTATTATAAATATATTTTTTAGATTAATAAAAATAGAAGAAGAATTAAATGATTAGGATGTTCCTACATATTAATATTCACCTTAATATCGCTATGAATCTAGGCAATCTCCATTATAAACTAATATTATATAAGTTTCATTGGATGTTACAAGAAGCCAAACACCAAACAAAAAAAGAATATACAGAACTAATCCAAGATTTGAATCTGAACTTACTAATTATAATTAAAGAAAGAAAACACCAATTAGAAATATAAAGAAGTAAAAATAGTCAAAACATATATAACATATTACAATTAAGAAAGATCCTCTTAATGATAATTTTCCTTATCTGAATAAATACAAACCAGAATTATTGAAAAGTATCCTAGAGGCTCGTATTAGTTTAGAATAATTGATTTGATTTTTATTATTAAGGTATATTTCTTATAATTGTTTTAATTAAAAAGATTTTAATAGTTTATTTTCATTAAACAATTGTAAAAGTTTATTTTTCAAATGGTTGAATATGAAATTAATTAAAGGAGTATATATTATTGTTATCCATATATTTTAAATATATAAAATAATCAACAATCCTAAACTAAAGGTTAATGAATATTTGAATGTTCTACAGATTCATGAAATGATTATTCAGCATTTATGATTCTATTCAAATTCGATTCACAACCTTAATAGGCAGCCTCTAGTTATTGTATATCCATAAGTTAGGCTATTTATTTAATTTAATAGATTACCTTATAATGAGATTGCATTTTTAAAGTCTTCAGAATTCTAGCAGAATAATAATTTATAACTTAACTCTTCTATGAAAACAATTAATACTAATTAATATGCACATTTATTTGCAGATATCTTATTAATAATTAGATTCCAAATATTACATAAGGGCATAGATTATACTAAACTAGTATAAAAGGATGAAAGTATTTCAAAAAAAACATTTTCAACTGCAATATCATAATTTTTACAATGTTAAACAATTTCTTTATGCAAAACTTCCATATATTACATTACAATTTCTTATGGACAAAAGAGAGTGTCTTCCTTAACTAAAGGAAAATGAACACTTCTCATTAATTCAACAAATCCAGTAAAAAGCCAGAATGCCTATGCTTCTGAATCATATTTATTACCAAAGACAGGTTTACTTAGATCATATAAAAAATGTGGATGTGTGATACATATGAATTTATTTGCAATTTAAAATAGTATAGTCAAAAAGGAGACATTCAACTAAATGGTTCTTACATTACAATAAATTAAAAAAGAAGTTAAAACTCCTTTACATTATTTATGTTGATTTTATTAAACTAAAGGTAATTTATTCATAAAGTCATCTACATCTTTTAATAAAGGTAATCTTAAATTAGGAATAGATTTTATTTAATAATAGATTTAAACATTATCTGTAACATCAGTAAATTCTAAGTAATTTCTTTTTAGTATTTCAGTAACAGGCTTAACTACTTTTTCCAAACAATTTAATTATGTAAACCAATTTGCTGGTTAACATTATGGTTATAGACATATATTTTCTATGTATAATCTCTAATATAAATTTTATATGTCATCTGAATATCTTTCAATTTCTAATCCAAATTTTACTGTTTCTATAATAGGTAGCTAAACGTATTTAAATTAATTGTACAGGAGTTCTTTATTCAATCATTTTTATGCTAACTTTTCTTAAAACAGCATTCAATTAAATATATTTTAATCTATCTAGAAATATTGGATCTATATTGGAATGTTCAAGTAAATCCATTTCTATAAAAATCTTAGATTTATCATATTCAAGAGCAATCCAAAATGAGCGACCTTCATATAAATATTTAATCAGATCTTAAAATTAAATTCTCAAGACTTTTGATGAAGTATTGGTTCCTTTAATATTTAATTTAATTTACTGATTGTATCAATAACTTAAAAATCGATATAATCCTTAAAACCCAAATTCTCAATTTACATGTAAGTCCTTCCTTATAATCCAAGTAATCCATCTTTAAAACCCCAAGCAGTATAATCTCTTCTCCTTTATTGATTCATTTATGCAAGTAAACGACAAGTAAAATATGGACTTTATTTAATATTATATTGTAATCCATCTAATATTTTAATACATTCTATATCCTTAGTTTCTTCTGGTCTCTAAAATGAATTTAGAAATATACTTCAGATATGAATCTTAATTCTAATAATGGTCTTATTAATTATATATTATTTTGAATATACATCCTAATTATTTTAATAGAGAATTTCTTAGGATTTGTATGATAAATAAAATGAGATCTTTATTACCAACCAATCAAGAATTTTTATATTACTAAATTCTTTGGTTGAATATGATTTTCAATTAAATTTCCTAACATTTGAATTCTCAATTTCTCTTTTCTTAATCTCTCCTATTCTATTAGATCTTTATTTTATTGTAATTACTATTATTTTTATAATGACAATTATTATTATTAATCTTATTAATCCTATTCATCTTTTAATAATTTTTGGCTTTTTTTCTACCAAATTTTAATAAGAGAACCCATCAATATTCTTTCTTATTAGATAAAATAATTTGCATCTACTTATGCTTTCTTTTTTTTTAACTTATTCATTTCTATAGCATATTACTCTAATTATTATGCAAATTTTAATGCCCATATGAAAGTAAATTTATCTTCATATTCTTGATAACAATATCCAAAACATTTAGCTAACTATTTTGATTTTAATTATAGAAGTTTTTCAATTATCAAATATCTCTACCATTTAAGTGCTTGATTTTAATCTTTCATATATATAAAAACTCTTGTATGATCTTTTTCAAATTCAATTGATAATCTAGCCATGTCTCCTTATTTATCATGCCAAGTATTTTAATGATTTACTTTGTTTTCCACTTGTATTGATTTATAAATTGGAAATTATTTTACAGGTTTATGATCTTTCATTTAAAAAAGTATATGCTTATCAAATTTAACTTATCTCTCTAAACTACTTCCAATAACTCTACTTATCTTATACATTTTTAATTCTTATTTGCATTATTCACTATTCAAACAAAGATCATTTGTCAAATTTTCTGCAATAGATTCTTATATAATTTATGAATCCTCTTATAATTACTATTTAAATGAAGCAATAAGAAGACTATGATATTGATGTTATTAATTTATTAGCCATCCTGCATGAATTTTCTCCTCATTACACATTTAAGATTAGTTTTTCATTTAATTAATAATATTTATATTATACAAAAATTGGCAAAGACCTAAATGAAAATTTCAGATATTATTTATTTTAATGAAAATTTTATTGTTTATTAATCAGAGTAACTATTTTGAAGAAATTTTAATATAAATCTTGTTTACCCTTTAAGCAACAGGAATTGGCCTATATTTAGATCCACTTTATTCAATTATATATAATTGGATATTCATTTTTGCTTTCATTATGTTTGCATTCTATTACCCTAAAGCTATATTATTTAGATTTTGGTATCATCATCATTTTAAGATTGCTTTACCAATTTTAATTTAAAATCAACAATTAGATATTACAAGCTTATTTAATGTACTACTTATTATAATACTATCAATAATACTTTTATCCTACACCGAAAAAATTGGAGAAATTCAAATATATAAGGCTATAAAAATATTTAATTATACTTTTATCTTAATTGCATTTTCAATACATCACTTGAACAATTTTGTATTCCTCATATGCTTACTAGTATATGATGGTCTTATCATTCTTTAAGTTTTTGGATTATCCATTGTCACAAATTAAGAATTTATCAAATTTTAAACCTTAACTATAATATCAATGACTCGTTTTATTGTATTTTTAACACTCTTTTTTATTCAAGTCAAAGACTTACTATTAGTGATTCCCTTGCTTTTATTTTTATCGATTGTCTTGTTAAATAAGTACATCCATCAAAAAATATAGCTAATCTTATAATAATAGCCATTCTCATTAAGTTCAATGATCTTATTACAATTCACATATTAATTAGGATTATACATAGGATTATTATACATATCTCAAATACTTGTAACACATTCAAAGGATTGCAATCGTCCTGATTGTTTTTGTAATAAAGAAATTTCAATTAATCAAGAAGAAACTTGGAAGAGTCCAAAAACTATGTTAAGATAAAGTCTTAATGAAATTCTTTGTGAAATCATAAGATTATATAAATTCTCTTAAATGAGTGATTCTGAGGAATATGTAATTATAAAATTAATTAAAAGCTTCTTTTATTAAGTAGAATAGAAATTGAATATAGAAATGATAAACTCTTTGAAACCTTAATAAGGAGTTCTAAATTAAGTAAAACAACTATTTTTGGATATACTATATTTCCTTATTAATTTCGAATTTAAGGTCATCGTGATATGTTTTATCATTAATTATTGTCTAAAATAGAAGGAGTTAGACTTAATAGTTATATTTATTATACATATTGTAATTTAGTTGAATAAGTAGGATAATTGATTGTTAAATTATTGAATCAAAGACAATAGATATTAACAATGTTTACAATTCAATACTAAAATCCTCTTTATTATTTGTATCATAATAGATTGTTTTAGTTTATCAGCTAATATGAAAAATGTGAATCTTAATTACAATAAATTTTAAAATTAAATCCACAATCTTGTGTTACATAGAATTTAGTATAAGCTCTATATTCAATGGTTACATTTTAAGAAGAGAAATTAAAGTAAATAGAAGTAAATCATAATTTGATGACTATTGAAATTGATTCTCTATGGAATACTCTAAATGATAGATAATGTTGTTATGTATAATGCAAATATGATAAAGGACTGGTTATGATTAATCATTCAGTGATTTTTACTTAATTGATGGAAGGTAAAGTGTATTAAATATTTAAGAAAATGGTATTAAGTCTGATTTTTTAGGATAGTATATTGATAAATTTATATCAAGTCCATTCAAAGAAGTTCATCATAGATTTATAAAGAGATTAATAAATGAGGGTAAACCAAGATTATTAAACAATGGAATTTAATAATTTTTTATAAATACAAATAAAGGATACCTGAAATAAATAGATAGTTTAGTTAGACTTGGTTAAAGTATGGAATATTTAACTTTTATGACTATTATGGGATATAAATAAGAAGAAACATGTGGTAAGATTTTATTGAGTAGTTTTGGCACTATATATTCTTATTCAGAATTAGCTGTATAATAGTTATATCTTGATAAAATATTAAAATTACATCATAAAATACATATAAATTTGAAATTATGTATACCAAAATCTTAAAATATAAATGAATTAAATGATGGATTTATTTTGATACCAAAAACAAATTTAGTTTAATAAGATTCAGTATAAAATACAATTTCAACAAGTAAAATTGATTAAGTAGCTTTTTATAAGTATTTTCTAAAATATCCAAAAAAATGTTTTGTATTTTTTTCAATTTACAAATTTAGTAATTCATCATATGATGATGATAATTTGTAATATGAAACACTTTATATATATTAATCTAATGAAATTAAAGATCTTGAATTAAAAATGTTAGCTCTTGAATTAATGCTAAAATAAATTATGTTAAACAATTAAATTTAATAAGAAGCGTATGTTACTAGTTATACTTCATTTAAATCTATAATTCCTGAAATAAAATAAAATATAAAGGCTGATAGTCATAAAAGTCATTCATAAATAGATGAAATTGATGATAGAGATTTTATTATTAGCAATGAAAGTATTCACATTTAATAAGAACCATAAAATGTCTAATTATATTAATTCATAGCTTTAGATTAAAATGAAATACTAATAGAATAAAAGAAGAATGAAATTAATTATTCTTCTATTATTGCTAATTCATTTCAAACATAAGATTATTTAATTTCAAGTAGAAGATTCAATGATTTTAGTGCTAGAGATTCTAAAAGAGAAAGTTAATAGTTAATTCATTAAAATCTAGCTAATATTCAGAACATATCACATTAAGAGAAAGTGATATAAGGAGATGAAGTTGAATAAGAATTAGATTCTCCAGAAGAAACGAAAGTTTAAGTATAAATGGAAATATCAATTAAAGATCTAACAGAATAGTATTTGAAAGAATAAATTGATTGGATTAGATCTATGTTAAAATTAAAGAAAAGTTAATTAGATAAGAATTAGAAAGCTAAACCAACAACTTATAAAAAAGGATCTATTAAAAAATTGCATTTAGAATAATAACCATCATCTATAAGAAGTACAGATTCATAAAAAGGATTGATTAATCATGTAGTTAATGGTATGATTCAATCTAATCCTCATTAATTTTACAGCATTCTTATCATTGCAATATTTTATTTAATTCTTCTTCTTGTCTTAATCATTTTGAGTATAACATAATTACAAAAAGAATTACATCATATTTATTTAGATTCTAGTGCAGGATAATTTTCTATAACATTATTATAAGATATTAATTTAATGGAAATAGCAATTCATTTATTAGCAACCAATTCTACTTTTGGTGCACCATAATTTTATATCTAAAATTCAACTGATGATTATATTTAATATGTTAGAACTGTCAATAATCGTTAATATATAAATCCAGAATTTTTATAAAGATTAGAATATGCCCCTATCAAAATTAATCATACATTTTCTAATTATGGAGTTTATGAATTTATTACATTTAATACAAGAAGATATCTTGTTGATTCATTACCTTTAGTATTTCATAGAATAACAGAAGTAGTTGAATATGAAGAATCTCATTTTAATATTATGCATATGGAAGAAAGTTATTTTACTTTAAATTATCCTACATACTTTAATTTAGCCTCAAATCTAATTAATTCTACTGATCATGAAATGACTGACACTAAAAATGCAGCTATGGATGTAGCCTTAATATATGTTATCATAGGATTAATCTCCTGTTTATTAATAGTTATTCTTATTGGTTTAGCAGAAATATAAATTGCAAAATGGAGAGTTTCCATTGTTAGAACTTATTTCCTATTCCAAAATTTATAATTATCTATTGTTTAATAAGAAAAAGAGACAATTAATCTATTAACTATTGATGAATTATAACATATGAAATACAATGTTATCAAATTAGAGAAATAAGCATAGTAAGTCTTAAAAAATGAATAAAGACTTATTGATACAAAATTAAAATAATCATTTTGGGCAAAATAATTAATTTCTATAATTTTATTAGGTGCTTTAGAATTATTATATTTTATTCCTTATTACTAAATATTTTCCAATTCTGTTGATTAATTAATAGCATTTCATGAAGATCTATATAAGTTAGGACTTACATAGTTATCCTTTAGCAATAGATTAGTTTATTTTATTTAATAATATGCTAATCCATATAATAATATTAATTCTACAGTATTTAATGAATTTGATTCATGGTTTGAAACTTATTAAGATTAGTATTTATTTGAACTTCCTTTTGATGAAACACATGATTCATAATCATTAACATATATCGTTAATAATAATATCTGTGAAATGGATGAAATTGTTCCCATGAATAAACTTGGATATAAGTGCCCTTATATTTTACAAGAAGGCTATTCAAAATTTGTAGTCTCTACTGAAAATTAATTAAAAATAATGTAATCAGAATATACTAATTTTTCTATGGGAATTCTATAAATTATGGGAGATACTGACTTTTTAGATATTATAATTGCTTATGGTTTTGTGTTTCCATAATTTAATAAAAACAGAGATTATTTATTTCAAATTTAAAAACTAAATAATGAGCAATCCAATACCTAAGCAATATTAATGGCTGTTTTTGTTTTGATAGCATTGATAATTGTTTTTTCAGTAATCATATTTATTATTTGTAAATAATTTCTAGCTGTAATCAAAACTGTTAAATTAACTCTCTTGATTTTCTCAAAAGATTAAATTGCAAAAAATAAGCATTTAGTTTAGATTTTGAGTAAAGAAGTAACTTTTGATTGAATTATTTGGGTTGAAATAGATATATTTACTTCATTCAAATTAAAATTATAAATTCATATCTATTTAATTTTTTTATATAAATTATAAATACAAATTTATAAGTATATATCTCCTAATGAAGTTTAAAAATTTTTAATCTCTTCAAGAAAACTTATCTATATAAATTTTTACATATACAAATATTTTTATATCTAATTAAATAATAGGATAAGTTATTTAAGTTATAATATTACATTAAAAGATCTAATGTATAAAAATATAAAATTATGATTTCTTTATTATTTAAATGATTTATTTTTGATTCCTAATTATTCTTTAAAATATTATTTTTATTAATTCCATCTAATCATTATATGCAACATAGAACTGAAGACTATGATTTACTATACAAGTTAGTTTTAATAGGTAATATTCAATTCTAATTAAAGGGGATTCTGGAGTTGGAAAAACTAATATTCTCAATTAATTTACAAGAGGCGAATTCCTATAAGAATCCAAAACCACAATAGGAGTAATTTATCTAGTCTATTATTTAATTTAGGTTGAGTTTGCTTCTAAGAATATAATGATTGATGATAAAACTATTAAAGCATAAATTTGGGATACTGCTGGTTAAGAGAGATACAGAGCTATAACATCTGCTTATTATAGAGGAGCAGTTGGAGCTATGATTATTTATGATATTACTAAATCATTAACTTTCGAAAATGTTGATAAATGGATGAAAGTAATTATTTTAGCAATGAATAAGGAATTGAAAGAAAATGCAGACCCTTCTTTATAAATTATGATTGTTGGAAATAAAATTGATTAAAAGCATATCCGATAAGTAGCTACTGATTGTGCTATTGCCTATGCTTAACGCAATGGAGTGGCATTCATAGAGACAAGTGCCAAAGATGGAACAAATGTAGAAGAGGCTTTTAAAAATATTTTACAATGTATTAATAAAAACTAATTCCAAAGAGATATATAAATCGGCTAAGGTTGTAAAACCAACTCCATCACCTACTAAATTCATTGTTGCAGATACAGATGTAGTTAAACCAGAAAAGTCTTCAGGTTGTTGTTGATTTTGAAAAATTATTTGTTATTTGTTATTTACAATTAAAATATCATTTAATGTTATATTAGGAAGTCACAAACTACATGATTTCTTATTAAACTTATTCATCAGAATCATTCAGTTTTTATAAATATTTTGCCACATAAGGTTTTAACTCTGATATTATTGTTATTGTTTTTTTAGTTTACTAATTTGCATTTACAAGAATTTAAGCAAACATTTCTAAATACAATTCATTATACTCTATTTAAAGGGATTTTAATAAATTTTTTTATATCATTTACACCTTTTGATTTTTTGGATCATGCAATTAATAATATTACAAGATTTATAATTATAATGGTATTTCCTAATCATCTTTCATTTTAATTGTATTAATTTATTAAAATATTTAAGGGTTCTGTAATTATAAGCAATTTATTGCAAATAATATTCCAAAAGCATTTTCAGCCTTAATATCCTTTAATTTAGTCTTTATACTTATTAAAAATTTCTCCAAAATCTCTTTGTCGATTTTATTCAATTAAGTTAAAATAGTCAAAATATTTGAAATATCAGATACTGTACATAATTTTGGATTAATTTTTTAAGTAAGCTTTTTCAAAAACTTGTCTGAATAATCAGTATCTACACTCGCCAATATTTAATATATTTTTGAGTATTATTTGCTATCTATAAGATTTAAGTTTTAATATAGGTATCTAAATTGATATTGTGTTTAATTACTAGATTAAATAATTTCCAACTTGATTTGTCAATTTCTTTATATGTATTAGAAACTCTAATAGACCTATTATATCTATGATAGTTATTTCATTTAAATTCCTCTCCAAAATATTATTAATAATTAAATCCCAGCTAATTTAGATTATAACATCTTAATTTTCTTAAAGTGTTTCCATATAATTATATAATTCATAAAAATTAAGTTTAGATAGATTTTAATCTAAATCATTTTAACAAAGTTTATAAACTAATAACATAAGTTAAATTGTTTTTTCGTCATAACTTTAAAGCTAAAATTATAGAATTTTAATTACATATTTTTTCAATTTAGCGTTAATAATCAATATAATTAATTTACTAACAAGAGTGAATTATTATATTTAAACAGAAATTGCTTCAAAATATTAAGAAAATTCCTTCATAATTATAGTCTCTTATTCAATTTATTTATTATCATCTTTGACTTTTTATAGACTTTATAAATCAATCAATCGTATAAATTATTTCCAGATTTACTCTTCTAATGTTTAAGGTATATAAACCAATAGTTTTTATTTCGAATTTTCAGATATTTTATCTAATTCATTATTTTGCTATTTGGAAAAGTAATATTTCATATGAAAATACATAACAGCATTTTATACATAATTACCATGTTCTTAAATTAATTATACAATTTTTTGATATATTTTTTAATCATATTCTTTGTTGAATTAACTTACTTATAAATAATTATTTATTGACTATAAAAATAAGTTAAACTCTTGTTCATCTAAATGCTTAAGATCCCTCGTTATTAAAGTAATAAATTATGGGAAAATTGATGTATTAAATTAAATGAAATTGAATTATGCATTAAGAATACTTTAATATCCTACTGATTATCTTATGCCTTAATATGCGACAGGAGTAGATTAACAAAGAGATAAATATTTAGCTAATTTTTACGAATCATTTAGGAGAATCGATTTCCCTTTACAAAATCCCATAAATATTCTCATTTATTAATTCTTAAATTTAATAATTTATATATTGTATACAAGAATAATTTAATGTAATGGAGAAATTTTATTAAATTGCACTACTATTAAAATATGTTAGTATTTATTTTAAGAATTATTTAAAAGTTAAATAGAAAATATAAACCTAGAATATAACTAACCTTGTATGTTATCCAATATTTATTTATGTTATGATAATCAAATCAATTTCTGCTGGCGATGAATTGAGCAGTGGTGGATAACTTCTCACTGATGTGCTCTTAGAGTCTGTCAACAATTTCTTATTAGGCAGTTCTAGAGGATTAGAAAAGTTAGAATACCTTTCAGCAGTTTATGTTTCATAGATTTCTGATTAGACTGCATACCAAGCTTATTATCCAGCAAGTCTTTCTTCACTATTTTCTAATTCAAGAGTGTGGAATTCGATCCATGATTAAGCATCTTCAATTGTGTCCTTTTATTCTTAGATTTAGACTTCTAATTAAGCTTTTCTTTCAACCAATCTGGTGTGTTCATTGGATAAATGAACTGAGAATTCAGCCCAATGAGCAGCTTATCTATCCTCAACGTCCTTAAATATTAATATTAAATAAATACTGTCTTGGCAGCCTTTTCTTAGACTAATTATTATCTGATTTCGCTCAAAAGTTAAGCAATTTTGGTCAAAGCTTTTTAGTTAACTCCGTGGGTGGCTAATTCAGTAAGAGCAGTGATAACTGGCTAAGAGAGTAAATATAGAAGGATACTTGTAATAAGGCAGTGTGGGATGTGTTATCTGAGAGCTTCTTGTGGAGGACATCATATTTGGACTTGAGTTAGGCAAATGATGCTCCGAGACTGAGGTGTTAAATGAGTTTGGCAGCTTCATCGATAGCATCAATAACATCATCAATAGCAGCAACCTTAGCAACGAAGGTTTCGTGTTATTGATTTCTGGTGGCTTCCTCTCTAGCATAGGTAGCTTCGTTGTTAGCAATATCTTAAATTGTGACTCTGATATCTTCTTCAGAGACGGCAAGAGCTTCAATAGTGTCATCTCTCAATTAAGTATTTGAGGCAATTTAGTTTTAATGATACAAGATTTCCTTTTCCAAATCTTCAACGATCTAGTATATTTTAATATTCTTACTCTATTATTGGTTGTGGTGTCAAGTTCAAATGCATGGTCATGGTCATTTTAATCTTAAACAAGGCCAGCACCAACCCCATTCAATAACATATTAACTTCATTGGCAGGTGTTGAGGCTTAAAGGTGAGCCTTAATGGCACTCAAAACAACGTGTCCGAATGGGTCAGCGTTGATTTAAGCTAATGTGGTATGGGTATCTATGAACTTTGCAGCAGTCACAGCAAGAACCAAAGCTAAGAGAGCTATTTTTTACATTTTTAATATTAATTTAAAAACGGATCGACGTCTTCATTTATACTCATTTTCCAATATAATTTTATATTATTAATAATCCTACTGCCTCAATTCTCTATGTCCTACTCTTTTCCAGACTCTTTCTCATGACCTTATTTCAAATATACAATTAAATCTATCAATAAGACAAAATTTAAAATTATAACATTAATTTGATTATTTTTCAAAGAAATATCCATAACCTGATCACTAAGAATTAATTAAAAAGTGAATAATAAATTTTTATAAATATTCAAACCTATTTGATCCTTCGATTTAATTCATTTGTTCTTTATTCTTCATATGGCTAATAAATATTACCAGTATAGTAATCTTATCTTCCCTCTCTAAATATCTACTAGTCAATTCTCCCATATGAAGGAGGATATAGTTCATTCTAATAAGGCAATCTTCGATTAAAGTGGATTCTCTCATTTAAATCTCGTTATATACCGATAGGAGGAAACCCTCGATATTCTGGTACATAATAATCAGGAGCAGGGACAGCTAGTGGGTCAAAATACATTCTTTATTATAATGCAGGATCAAATCTCTATCTGTCATCATCAAAAAATGGATATCCTTCATACTCTAATGGTAAAGCATTTCTCTCATTTAAAATTGGAGGGGGTCTATGAATATCTACTGGATGTCCTTATCTATAATCGGTTGCTGGAAAAACTCTATATGATAAATTTCTTCTTAATTCTCTCCCACAATTTCTTCGACTTAAAATTGGTTCTGGGATTCCTCTCCTATAATCACTTAATATTCCAGGAGGAGCCATCCTTCTATATTCTGAAAGAGGCAACCCTAGTTCTTGTGAAGGAATACCTCTAAAATCTTAAGGGACAAAACTTAATCCAGGTTCTTAAAAATCTTAAGAAAATCCTCTAAAGCTATGCACATATCCTAAATTTGGTTCCCTTAAATTTGAAGGAGATATTCTACCCTCCAATGGTTGCATGATGCTTTATGTAAAATTTTCATGAACTCTTAAAGGCTTGTAAATATTATCACCAGTGTGTATAGTATTATTATAAGGAGCACTCTAAAATCTTTCTGGAGATATCATTCTTTAGGGGTTGATATTAGACCCAACTTTTTGGTTTTAGTTTTCCTTTTATTTATCATCTTATTATTTCTCTTGCTATAGCTATTAAGGTTATTCAGAAGATCCTTGTGTATAGATCCTATCTTTATTTTATGATCTATCCTATTGTACAGGTAGATCTTAAGCTTTTCCGTAGTAATCTTAAATTTTACGATTATCTACTGGTGGTCGTTAGAGAAATTCTAAGTTTTATCCAAACGGTTTTATATATCCTTTTGGAAACTTTTCTATCTCAATTGGTCTGGAAGGTGCATAGTACATTTAATAAAATAAAATATTATAATCAGTTAATTGTTAATGATATTTATAAACTATATTTATAATAATATTTCTAACTTAGCTTAAACCTCTAATTATTTCAATCAATCAGATGATTAAATATATACTAGAGTAATTATGTTAACAAAAAATAAACTATTTACAAGCAAAATAAGATTTAATGCTATGACTTAAAATATTGATGATATTCTTTAAATTCTTAAATTTCTTCTAATTTTTTTTATTTATATATATATATATATAAGTCGAAGTTTATTTAAGTGCTATAATTTTATCTTCTCCAAAATTCTTTATTGCTGAAAATTTCTAATTACAAAATTATCATGTTTCTACTATTTATTTATCTTTATCAAACTCTATTAAGAGCTTTATTTTTATAAAGGTTTATAAATAATTATGAAATAATAACCTAATTATTAAAGCTTTACAAGTATTTTCGATATTGAGCAATCAGTAACATTTTGGGAACCATTATAACAACCTCTTCATGCAGAGAGATTACTTTATAAAGGTAAATTCTTTGAATTCACCGGAAATGTTTGGGTTTAAGAACATTATGATCTTTATCCTGAAGTGTTATGTAAAGGTTAATTTTACATGCAATTACCAGGAGTGTAGATAAGAAGACTCAAACCAAACGAGACTTATGGTCCCCATAAATATGGATTAGGGTTCTTAAAAGGGCCATACAGGTTGTTGTTATATACCGAATCAGTTGAATAGCTAAATTAATGGTACTAAGTCCATAGAGTTTAGGCATGACTACTTGAAAAGACTTTGTCTATTGCCCAATTTTAACAAACGCCATAAATTAATTGGTAAGATTAAGAATTCACTTAACTTTTATGATTGCTATAAATGTATAAATGGGTAGCAATATTAGGTCAAAATATTAGAAAAATCTTAAATAACACAAACAAAATAAGTTTTAAGAGAAATTTAAATTTTGCGTCGTTTAAATCATCCTTAAATCTAAAAATTATTAGAAGTTTATGAAGACAGCAATACTGTCTATATTTTATTTGACAAATTCTTAGGTCATTCATTAAAAACAAAATTGCCAGATTATTGGAAGTAATAAACATTTTTTATCTATAGTTTAACAGAAAAATAATAGGCTGAGGTCTGTTTTAAGTTATTAAATGCATTAGCACATATACATTAAAAAAATATTATTCATAAGGATATAAGACCAGAGAACATTATATAACTCAATTCTCAATTAACTAATCTTATAATAGCTAATTTTGCAAGTGCAGATTCAAAAGAGAAATCTAAAAAAAGGAAAGTTTTCAATCCTGGTTTTATGGCTCCAGAACTATTCTAAAATAGAAACTTTGATGATAAAATAGATATTTTCTCTTTAGGTGTAATATTCTATGGCATCTTTTATTGCAAATATCCATTTGAAGGCAAAGATTTTAGAGAAACTGCAACTTTAAATGAAAAATGTGAAATTAATTTTGAATATTCTAAGAAGTTATCTTCCTCAGCTATTGAATTATTGTAGGGAATGTTAAAGAAAGATCCAACTTAAAGATTTAATGCCCAAACTGCCTTAAAGCATCATTGGTTTATTAATGCAAGAAGCAAAGAATAAATGAAAGGAAACATGCTTGGAGCACCTTCACTTTCAACAATCCAAGAAAAATCAGAAATTGATATCTCAATGTAAGATCGTTAATTTAATAAATAATAATCTAAATTAAGAGCTAAATCTGTAGATACATTATTCATTACAGATGCAAATGAAATAGAATAAATACCACTGCATTAGAAAATATAAAAAATGACAATTATTTAGTTTAATCCATCCAAATCTAATCATTGATTTACATATTATTATTTAATTGTTAATAAGAAATTATTTTATTATTATTTAAATAACTTTTTTTGACTTAATAGACCATATATTAATATTACAAAAATAAAGTGTAATTAAGTTTAAATTATAAAATATTTTAAAGATCTAAATTGCTGAAAATAGGTATTTAAAATATTTAATAAAAAAACCTAATTTAAGAATAGATTTTGAAGATTAAATTGTATATGCTTTAATTTTATTAATTTAGCTTTATGTTTTTTAAATGTTTTATTTATCTATCAAATTTGTTTTACTTAAATCCTAAAATCACTCTATTGAATTCTATTATAATAAAAAATTTACTTTAATTTTTTTGATCTTCAAATAAAGTCTTATTTTCTTAATTAAGAGCTATAGAAAGTAACCTTTATTTTTCATTAGAAATAATGTTAGATTTTAGAATATTATATTATTTTTGATAAATTCAATCTCCAAATTCCATTAATTTCGGATTAGATAAATTATAGAATCAATATTATTATGGTTAGAAATTTTGATCTACATATAATTCAAAATTGATTAGAATATATTTGGTTAAACATTAATTAATAATATTAATGAATTAAAATTATTCAATACTCATGGAATTAACAAAAAAATAAGAATTAACTTTAGCTATTGAAATAGCGGCTATTTGTGTTCCTTCTGTATTTTTATTAATTTTCACTCTTTATTGTTATTTCAAGTTTCAGCACTTAAATAATGCATAGTTTTAACTAGTAACGAGAATTTTATTTTCAGATCTAATATATGAATCTATAATGAGCGCGATTAGTTTGAGTTACATAATTACATAAAATGGAAGTAGTTAAGAAACATACTTTAGAGATACCTATCCTACCTTTTGTTATATAGAAGCTTTTTTATCAAATTTTTCAATTTTAACTAGTACTGCTTGGACATCAATTATATGCCATACATTATACATGCAAGTGTATAAAAATATATCTAAGATGTATTATTATCAGTATATATTTGTTGGTTATGTGATTCCAACAATAATCAGTTTTATGTAAATTTATATAGTTTATAGTATATAGACCATTTTATGTTGATGGATATGGTGTTACATATCCAATGGAATCAACAAATTGCTTTTATAATATGAGATTGGATAGGAGATCTTATGATTTGTACATAACTTTATGTTATTATTTACCAATTTGGGTAGCATTTTTATATAATTTAACAATAATAACATTAGTTGTAAGAAGAATATTAAAGCACATAACTGATTTTACAAACAAAACATAAGTTTTTGCATTGTTTCTTTATCCAACAATATTATTCATTTGTTGGGTGATTGTAATCTTACTTTAGTTATCCTGTAGCCTGGCTTAGTTTAACAATTTAACCCATAATCAATTATTTGGTAATACTTATCGTAGTTTTTCTGTAACATACTTGGTCTATTGGATGCTCTGTGTTATTGCTTTACTGAGATATTTACAAAAATTAGAATTAATGGATGTAAATTAGAATATTAAGATGATTTATCTGAATGTAATTTTGCGACCCAAACTAGCCAACAATTAACATAAGTAGTTGATTCATAATAATTGTGAATACTATTTAATAAATAATATTAAATTATTAAGCGTCATTTCTTTTTTTAGTGCGTTTGCAATTTAATATTATAAAATGAAGAACAAAAATATAGTAATATAATAATATAATTGAAATGTCATCATCCTAAGACTTAGTAAAGTGTTCATTTAACCCAGA